GTCCCCAAGGGGCTTTTCCCAGCTCTTCTTCCTGTCCTCTGGGCCTCACATTCTTTCCACCTCTCTGTCCAATCTCTGTGTACAGAAACCACCCAGACAATGTTAGATATGTACAGAAACCACCCAGAGAATGTCAGATATATAAGCAAAATGGATCCAGGGTCAATAGTCACCCCAAGTGATAGCTTCCTAATAATGCTCACAGAGAGCTGTGAATTGTTTTGTTTTTTTGTTGTTGTTATTGGAAGTTGTTTTGTATATATGTGTCTATGGGTGTGTGCTCATGTGGGTACATGTGAGTATGTGGTTGTGTGTAATGTTACATGCATGTTCATGTGTATCGAGGTCAGAGGCCAATTGTGTTGTTTCTCAGGAGCAATCCACCTTGGGTTTTTGTTTCTGTTTTTGAGATAGGGTCTCTCTCATCAGCTCAGAGCTTGCCAAGTTGCCTAAGTCACCAGCAAGGCCTGGTGTTTACATGTTTCTGTCCCCCTGGTGATAAGATTGTAAGCCTGTGCCCCTGCACCTGGATTTTTTATGTGGGTTCTGGGGCTCGAACTCAGATTAACACGCTTGCACGGCACCCACTCTACCAACTGGGCTGTCTCCCCATCCCCTACCAACAATGTTTTACTTTGTTCTTTTTTAGATTCATTTACTTTACATGTCTGACTGTGTTTGCCTGTATGTGCAACTCATTGGCATGCCTGGTGCCCTTGAAGGTTAGAAGAGGGTACCAGATCCCATGGAACTTGAATCATGGATGGCTGTGAGCCACCATATGGGTACTGGGAACTGATTCCAGGTCCTCTGCAAGAGCGAGTGTTTTTAATCACAGAGCCAACTCTCTAGTCCTGCTTGTTCAGTTTTTTACCTTTTGAAGATGAAGTGATGGTTTCTAAGTCCCTTACCCTAAAGAACGATTTGAAAGAGAAGAGGGGGTGGAAGATAATGATCTTTTATTGTTATTATTGATGATAAATTATTTTAAATGTGTGTGTGTGTGTGTGTGTGTGTGTGTGTGTGCGTGCGTGCGTGCGCGCGCGCGTGTGCACGAATACAAAGGTGTGGTTGTCTATGTGGGCACAAGCATGCCGCAATGTGAGTATGGAGACCTGAGGACAACCTCTGGTGTCAGCCTCACCTTCTACTTTGTTTGAGATTGCAGTCTGGCTTTATGTGGGGATTTGAACTCAGGTCCTCACGCTTGTGTGTCAAATGCTTTTACACCAGCTAACCATAATGAGATTACCCCGGCCTCATAATGAGATTTTAAATGGATAAACTGGACAGTCACCTTCCCAAACGGCTGCTGTGTCATTCTAGAAAGTCATAGTCACGAGTGGATGGACCATGGTTTGAACACTGAATAATAAAAGAAGCCAGACATTTCTTCCATCTAAGATTTTTCTAACTGTCTAAGCATAAAGACAATTAAATTTAGAGGCATTTAGCACAGAATGGCTGAGGAACAAATAATCCATTCCTATAAATAAAAGATACAACTATTGTGTCAACATACCATACCTAAATAAGTAGTCTTAATGCTATAAAGTATGGGCTTTGATAGATTTTTAAACTAATCATTGAATTAAATTCATCCATCTATCCATTCCACAGACAGCCCCTAGGATGTGCCTAGCACTCTGCTAGAAACAAATCCAATTAAGATCCCAGTCCCTCTTAGCAAAGGCACATAAGCTAGTCAGAGAGACACACACGAGCAGAGATTGAGAAAGCAGTGTGGCATTTAATACATGGTAAAGAGGTATACAGGACTATGGAAAGATAAACACAGATCGGAAGGCACAGGAGGTGACAGAGCAGGGTAGAAAAGGCTTCCGGAATATCATTTTAATCTGGCACCTGAACAGGATGTTAACAGGTCTGGTTTCTTTCTCTATAAATCCCATTGATAATGAGTGTTTTATTTTTTGCTTTTTCATTTGGCTAATCCTCAAGGCTGTGAATCTCAGAGCTAGGTACTAGTATTAGAACTAAGTGGACTAGACTCAGGGCTTGCATATTTCTACGAAAATGAGGAAGCCCCTTGATGAGTGGGAGCGATGACCTGGAACATCATTAGAGTGGAGTGAAAATCCCTGTGCAGCCTCGGGAATGTTTGTAGATCGTGGCTGGAATGGGAGATATTTAGGTGTCTGTGACATCAACAAATAAATGTCACTGCCACAGTAGGGTACATGAAGGTGATATTGTGTTCTCCAGTCTCAGAATAGAAGTTTCCTATAGTCACTTCCGTACCTGTGGTAGATTCATGAGAAAAAAGAGTTAGAATGTGCGTCCTAGGAAAAGCCTTATGGTCACAGCTTGGAAATCTTTTCTTACCAGAGACAAAATCTGCCTGCCTGGGGTCAGGCTGCTATTTACTAAGAGAGACAAAACTAAAATTCAGGAGACAGAACATCCAGAAGAAAGCAGTTCACAGAGGCTGTATTGAAGACCAGTCTCTAAGATTTGTATCCACGGTCCTTGGATCTACTGATTCTGCTTCCAGCTACCTTTTCAGCCTCCCCGAGTTGAAAGCTGACCTCTCTGCCTGGAAGGGTGGAATGCAGGGGAATTTTCAGATGCAAGAAGCCCCAGATACAACTATTTTCTCTCCTGTAAATGTTTTGGCTTAATCAGACCCTTAGCCAGGTTTAGAAAACCTGGTTTCTTTCAGGACATAGCTGATTTACTGGGCATGACAGATGGCAGGGTATAGATTTGTTTCCTAGTGCATAACAATTGCTCGCCTTCTATACAAATCTTTTCTCTACTAGATTTAATGGTTACACCCCTCTGTCTCTCTGTCTCTCTGCATCCTCTCTGTGTGTCTCTGTCTCTCTGTGTGTCTCTGTCTCTCTGTCTCTGACTCTCTGTCTCTCTGTCTCTCTCTCTCTCTCTGTCTCTCTCTCTCTGTCTCTCTCTCTCTGTCTCTCTCTCTCTCTGACAGAGTTTCTGTATAGCCCTAACTATCCTGTAACTCTGTATGTAGACCAGGTTGATCTCTAACTCAGAGATCCACATGCTTCTGCCTCCTGAGTGCTGAGATTAAAGGTGAATGCCACCACATCTGGCTCAGCTTCCTTTGTAAAAACAGAGAAAGTGGGGAAACTTACCTCTGAATCTTACCATGAGCATTAAATGCAGTATAGGGAAAGTATTTGGAAAAGAGCATTAGATGAGATATTTTGAATACAGAGAAATATAACAATACATAGATATCAATCGATATACACATAACTAAACACTCCTTCAAAATACTTGTTAAAATTCATTAAAACTCAGTGCTCAAGAAAATTCACCCTTGCACTGTTTCAACTACTGTAATCCCCGAAACGCATCACATTCCCCCCCCCCAACAACCCTTTAGGAAATACCACTTTATAAAGGCCTTTTCCAAAGCCCAAACTAACTTTTGCTTTACTTTTTAACTTTTACACAAACTGTTCCTTTCACTTTTTAGATGGTTTGTTTGCTTGCTTGATGATTCTTTTAAAATCAGCATATTTCCAGGCTGGATCTCTAGAGGACTTGGATTACTGTCACCCACAGAGCGGCTCCCAACTATAACTTCAATTCCAGGGGATCCGACTCCCTCTTATGGCCTCTGCGGGCACTGCGTGTATGCGGTGGACTTGCAAACAAGCAGGTAACACACAAACATAAAAATTTAAAAATATATGTAAAACTCAGCATAGTTCAGTGGCAGAGTGTTTGTTCAGCATGCAGGAGGCGCCCCCGCTCAGGAAAACCCACCGCTAATGAAATGAAAAGAACATGTTCACTAATCCCTGATCGGACCTCGGGTTAAAGTTAAGGTCAGCCTGACCCTCGGGCATACACGACGCTACTTAGGGGAACCATTACGAACCTGCATTGTTCTGCTTCTGAAACCCCAAGGCTTTCTGCTCCCCGATCAAACCGAGAAGCCATGGCAATACACCTGTGCCCCATTTTTGTTAAAAGTTCATATCCTGTCGTGCTTGCCAACAGTCACCGCGTCAACGGAAGTACCGCACCTGGGCTTTTCCCTGTATAAACCCGTCTTTACCGGGTCGGGGCCGCCTCTCTAGACTAGTAGTGACAAGATTGCGCGCCTTTGGCCGGGGCCGTGTGGCTCAATAAAAACTTCATATTCATAAAGAGCTCGTCATGGTCTCCTTTTGGGTAAAAAATAGCCCGGCTACAGCACTACCTCTATTACAACAACAATTTATTCTCAAGACTGAAGAGATTTTGTGAGACTCTTCAAGACTGCAAAGAAATTAAAGAACGGGGTTTAAGAACCTTTCATTATATATATATTTTTGCAGCATCGCTGTCACTGCAGGACACTTGCATAGCTGTCTCTCCTTGTGGGAAGCAGAGGAGTTGGAGATAGACGCTATACTGGAAGCCCGGACAGCCCGGGGTTTCAGGGGGAGAGTCGGAATGATGCTGGTTTCCTAAAAGACCTGGCAGGATATGGATTTTCAGAAGAAAGCGTACACTCCAGAGCAGAGGACAGGAAGAAAGTGATAAGAAGCATACGTAGTCCTAAAAATGTGTGCACTGTCGCGGACCTTTGGGACCATGTCTGTTTATCGGCTGACATTTTCAGAGAAAGGAGGGGGTGTCTTGGACGTTCGTTTAATGTAAAAGCTCCTGGACCAGGAGCGGTAAACCAGATTCAAGGCTTGAGAACCACCTGCAGCTCCCGTAGCCCCAGTCTCACTACCTTAAGCCCAAACCACCTGGGAAGGCTCACTTGGTGGCCTCTCTAGACCACTTCGCCGAACTCTATGGTCGCGGTGCACGCGCAAAACCCTTCCCGTCGCACAAAGGCCATGAAAGGAGGGTTCTGCGCCTGCGTTCTGCGTCTCCCTGGCGAGAACGCCCTCCTCTCCTACGCCTGGTGCAGCGCTACGCCTGCGCCCTGAGGACTTGCGGGACTTTTATCACGCTGGCGGCGGCGGTGACGTGATGGCTGAGGAGGAGGGCGTGAAGGAGCGACGGAAGCCGAGAGGGACCCGGGGCGGAAGGGGACCCGGGCCAGGCTTGTGTTCGGTGCCTTGGCGGGGCTGGGGTTCCGATGTGGTCCCCGGGGCGGGAGGCCCAGGCCCCGACCGGGGGAGACCCGGCGGGCCTCCTGCCGCCCGAGTGGGAGGAGGATGAGGAGCGCATGTCTTTCCTGTTCTCCGCCTTCAAGAGGAGCCGCGAGGTGAACAGCACCGACTGGGACAGCAAGATGGGCTTCTGGGCGCCGTTGGTGCTGAGCCACAGCCGCCGCCAAGGGGTGGTGCGCCTGCGTCTGCGGGACTTGCAGGAGGCCTTCCAGCGCAAGGGCAGTGTCCCTCTGGGGCTGGCCACCGTGCTGCAGGACCTGCTGCGGTGAGGACCGGGGCCGAGCGGGCCGAGCGGGGGGCGGCGCCCCGGGGCTGACTTCAAACCTGCCCTTTGACAGCCCAGACTCAGCGGCCAGGGTTTGTTCAATGGGTGGAGGAGGAGGACGGGGAGGCGGCTCCACGGACGTCTGGAGACAGAGAGAGAGAGAAAAAAAAAAAAGAGAGGTCGGGGTGGTTGGAGTGACTGGGAGAGTCGGAATGGTCCAGACGAGAACCACCCTCCTGGCAGAGGGGTCAGCGGCACACTTGGACTGGGATCCCGTTATGCGGTTATTTCAACAGGAACCTCTAGATTTGAATGACCGGTGCAGCAGATCTCCGAGATGGGTACTTTGAACTAAGAAAGAACAGAGCTAAGGAAGGAGTGCTCCTGGGGTTATAGACATCTTGACAAGGGAACTCTGGCAAAAGTCATACAACTAGCATGTCCGGGCCTGAGACTGTTTCGATCAGAGGACAGCAGAGTTTAACTGGGTATCTGGGGCCCCTGGAAGGGCTTTAGGTGAGAAGCGTGTGTGACAGGTACAGTGTTCAGGTCGTGCTTGAAGAGGTGACATGTCTAATAGATGAATGGCACTTCGTGGTTTCAGATACTGTCATACTCCAGTCTCTGGCCTTTTCAATAATCCAGGGCAAGATAATACAGTTCTCCTCGTTAAAAATAAGAAACAGAGTGTCCGAGAGATCACGTAACCTATTCCCAGGTTACACGGCTAGAATAATCCCAGGACTGGTCCCTGGTCTTTGGATTCTAAATCATTTGTGTTTCACACTGCACGTATTATGCCCAGCCCAGACTAGCGTTGTGTCTCTTTCAATGAATAAAGAGAAAGTCAAGGAAGGCTGTTGTGTTTAGCGTAATGTTTTCTCAGTAAATGGCCACCCTTCTTTACTTCTGTTCCCAGTACCTTTCATTGCCTGACTTTGACCTAAGAAACCTTTCTGCAATTCTCTGAGAAAGTGTGCTGTGGAAAAAGTTTTACCAGATGCCTGAAGTGGAAAACAGTTAAGTCAGTGAGGGACGGAGGCACTGAAATGAGCCTCTTGATGCAAGACAGACAGGGCCCATGTCCAAATCCTTTAGCACCCTGAAACCTCCTGTCCTGGCTGCTGATCCTTGAAGCTTCCTGGTGTCTTGTCCAGGTTTGCTGTCCACATAGCCACAGCTTTGCTTGAGGGCCACACCATTGTGCCCAGATCCTGGCTTTACCATTTTCTAAACTGTAGCCCTGCATAGTTAACATGCCATCTGTAAGCCTTTGACCAATTGTCAAATTACAGTAACAACATTGTGTGGGTTGAGGATCTTTATAGCCCTTAACACAGTGATTACCCATGGCAAGCAGTTAGTAGACTTGGCTGATGTTGTTACCACTACCAGGAAATACATCTCACTTCCAGCCTAGCTTAGAGATTGCATAAGACCCTGCTCTGTGTAGCTTTGCTCTCTGCCTGAGGTCCTGACTATCGCACAGGATTTTCATTTGATTGTTCCCAGGCCCGTCAGTAGAAGAAAAACCTCAGCATGGGCCCAGGGAAGCCTTTTGTGCCTCTATTGTCTTAGTGGGACACTTGGATTTTTGGAGCCAGACAAATTGGGTGTCATCTGGCCCTCTTTACTGTCTTAGACCCTCAGTCTCCTCCTTAGTTTACATACTGGTCTATTGTGCAGAGTGGTTAAGAGGCTGAACACTGAGTACAGGTGACACTGCTCTGAGTAGCCAGTGCAAAATAGATAGATGATGATGATGATGATGATGATGATGATGATGATGATAAAATGCCTCTGGGGGTAAAGGGGCAGGTATGGATTAGGACAGGCCATTGCATTACATGTCTCTCCATGCCTTTGTCTCTCTCTCTGCAGTCGAGGCGAGCTGCAGCGAGAATCAGACTTCATGGCCAGCGTGGACAGCAGCTGGATCTCCTGGGGGGTTGGAGTCTTCCTGCTGAAGCCCCTCAAGTGGACTCTTTCTAACATGCTCGGGGATAACAAAGTTCCAGCTGAGGAGGTGCTCGTGGCTGTGGAGCTGCTTAAGGTGGTTATGCAGAAGGCGGGGCCTGGGTGGCATCAGGTGTGACAGGGTCACCACAAACGTTCTTAGGAAAATACTGTCTTTTTGCCAAGTAACAGGACTAGTGGCTGAGTCTACGTGATGTCTTCTGCCATGAACTTTTTAGGGTTATGTACTCGTTGGGTTATTTTTATATTTCAAGGGTAGGCTTTGTCTAGGAAATGTCAGTAACAGACAATTCCTGACAGTTGGGGGGATTAATAATAAGCTATAGTTTAGGATGTACTCTGCTTTCTCTGGTTTACTGGCAAGAAATTCCTAGAATTTAATTAAGTGACGTATTTATTGTTGAACTTGGGATTGAACCTAGGCTCTGTGTGCATTGGGCAAGTGCTCTGTTACTGAGCTCTAGCTCAGCCCTCCTTAGTAAGCTCTGGTTTCCTGTCCTCTGACCACTCTTTTCCCTCCAGCTCACCAGGGACTTGCTTCTCACTGTCCCCGCTCTTCTGCCTGGATGAGGCCAGCAGGCTCCATCCCTTCCTACTCTGCTGCCCAGTCAGCTTCTTCACATACTGCCTTTTCCTCCTAGCCCAGGCCATATACTGACTGCAGGACAGATGCCATCTCAGAGCCCTGAGCAGGCACGCTTCTCTCCTGTTCCACACCAGGAGTTGGTGGAATTCCGTAGCTCTCTTGGAACCAGCAGTCCCTTTCTAAAGCAATGGAGTCAGTCTGGTCCTGTGTCATAGAGAAACGAGCCTAGAGCTCCATGGGGCACAGTACTGATTCTGTGCCACCTGCTGTTACTAAGCAGACACTTCATGTTCCATTTGGTGACGTCTGGTTTCAAACATATGATGAGTCCTGTTTTCTCAGAAGTAATGGGCTCCTATTGGTAACGAAGAAAAAGGTGTTTATAGGGAGGAACTTGTAGGGAAACACTGGTTTTTCCCAAGGCTAGACGAAGAAATCAACCCAAAACAAAGCAAAACAAAACTTGCCCATGATTTTGCTATTAAAAAGAAAAGGATACAGAGAAGTAGTTTCCTTTCTGTTGACCCATACCTTCTTTGGCATAAGTCCCTTTCCCATTTCTGTGCTTGTGTACATGTATGTCCAGATCTCTTTTGTTACTTTAAGTTTTTATTGTATTTATTTATTGGCAGGGGTAGGTTGGGTTGGGGGGCTTACCCTGTTAATGCCAGAGGACACCTTGCAGGAGTAGTCCTCTCCTTCCACCAGGAGGGTCCCGGAGATTGAACTTGGGTCCCCAGGCTTGGCTCAACAGCCTTAACATGCTGAGCCATCTCACTGGCCCAGATGAGTTTTTTTCTTCAGTACTGGGAACTGAACCTAGGCTTTTGTGCATGCTCTGTAAATGCTCTGTCACCCTCAGTCCCCTTTAAAAAAATGTTAAACAAATTTTCGTTATATGAAGGTTGTCATGAAATTGTAACAACCTTTGTGCCCAGTTACTCCTCCACTCCACAGAAAGGCTCCTCTTGACTTCATCTGGTGCTTGGTTCCCTTATGTTCCCGCCGGCCTTTCCCTCAGTCGTCTTCTTCAGCTGACTTCTCTGAAGTCATTGCTGAGGAACCCTGCCTCGAGCTTCCTGTCAGAATTCGTTAAAAATGATGAGTTATGATTCTAGAGTTTCGAATGCACCACCTCCCATGTTACCTCCAATCCTGCTTCCCATGTCGTCTGTTACACCAGCTCCCAGGTCTACTCTTTTTCCTTAAGGACTTCTGCTGCTGTTAACAGAGGCTCCCTAGCACTACTCAGTAAAGTGGCTTTCTGCACCTTCATTGGATCCAAGCTTCCTTTTCTGTCGTGTTCACAGAATCTCCAAGCGTAGCACCATAGCCAAAAGCATAGCATCAAAGATCCAAAGTTCTGAGGAACTTTGCAGGGTTTTCGCAACTATTACAGATCCTTCGTTGTTGGCGTTCTTGATAAAGTCATTGCAGGGATTTTGAGTGTTCTAATTTCTATGCAGTATTTTTAGTCTTCATCAGCACCTTACAGTCAGCAGCTGGAATGCACCAAAGCAGAGCACAGCATCTCCCAGGCTCCAAACTGCCTTCTCCAGCAGCTGCTCTTGTGGCGCTGAGGGCATCTCTCGCTGTTCTTTCAGTCACTTCAGTACCCCATGTCCACCCCCGATCCCCACCCCGCACAGTCAACCATCTGAAAGCCCTGCCAGTCACTCATCTAGTTTTGCCGTTAGATTCACGAGTTGTGAAGCCTAAAGGCTCGTGATTTCTTGAATCTTTTCCAATGAGCTTTGTTACCTTCTCCTTTCAAAAGCGTAGTAATATTTTCGGTGTCAGTGACCTCTCCAAATGTTCTTTTATAGAAAGATTTCTTATTCATGTTTGTGTATGTGTGAATGCAGATGTGTGCATGCCACAGCACACGTGGCAGTCAGGAGGCCAACTTTTCAGGAGTCAGCTCTCTGCTTTCACCTTGTTTCTCTTGTTTCTGCTGATGCACTGTGGACACGAATGAGCTTTTAGGTGATTGTGCTCTCTCTCTACACACACACACACACACACACACACACACACACACACACACACACCGTTTTCACATAGGTGCTGGGATTACCGATAAGCATTACTGCATCCTTCCTTTTGTAAGTCCTAAGGGTGAACACCTTCAAGATTTGGGGTTAGCTCCTCCTCTTTAATAAACATGGCACTCCAGTAGCTATCTCTTAAAGCTGATCCTTTCTTTTGTTACCAAAAGCCAGAACTATGCCTGCTACAACCTGGGGACCAGCTTTTGGCTGCTTAAAGCCCCTTCATAGCATCTTCAGTGATTGTGCCCGTGAGTCTCTGGTAAGCAGAGGTGCAGTGGGCTGACGCTAAACATTTTCTTTTCACTCAGTAGATCATAGGTGTCCTGAAATCCACATTTGAAATCCTCCTGATGTGTTAGTAAAGTATAGAGAATATATCCTTGATCAAACTGGATGCCTTTGACAATTTCCAGTTCATATTCAGTTTTCTCCACACTGTACTGGGATGATGCCCTTTCTTCCAGCCTTTTTTCATTGCATCAAAAATGCTGCTGCCAGTTTATCTCCATTTTCAGAAACTGGCAACCTGAGCAGTTTCTTCAGGGTTGCCACAGATTTAGACTTCTTAAGATGTGCAATTAAGTATCCACACCTCCCCTGGTTTCCATGGATTAGCATCTTTGCTGGATCTCCAAGCATACTTTGGCAGGAGAACATGCCATACCAGTCACAGTAGTGTTGGTGGTGCTGGCCTGGCCATGGTTTGTGACACACACACACACACACACACACACACACACACACACACACACACACACACGGAGCAGGCATCTGGGATAAGTTAGCTCTAATACTTTCACTTTCGAGTCAGTTGGCTTTGTAACAGTCACATTACCCTTTGTTCTTTGGGACTTCTAACTGTCCAGTCATCAGCGTTCTTCACTTTGGACACATTGTAATGACTTGGGCGTAAATGTCTTGTATCTTGAGCATTAAGGCTCAGGCAACTGTACCAAATTCCGGATCTCTGGCACAAGCCCAAGTGAGATAAAGAGCAGGTGCCCTAGATGCTGGGCTTCTCTGGGGAAGGACTATGGGAAGGTGAAGCATTTCTGGGGTGTGTGTGTGTGTGTGTGTGTGTGTGTGTGTGTGTGTGTGTGTGTGTGTGTGTGTGTATATGCTCATGCGTGCTATATACACAGTGTGGCAGGCCATCAGAGGTAAAAGGAACAAACACATTTTTCTTATTAACCCTGCTGCTCTTACTTTCAATTTTCTTTTTTTAATAGTGTGTGATGTACAAAGTTTTCTTTGTTATTGATGTGTGTGTACGTGTGTGTAGATATGTATCTAGTGTGTATAGATATGTATCTATTGATGTGTGTGTGTGTGTGTGTGTGTGTGTGTGTGTGTGTGTGTGTGTGTGTAGATACGTATCTGTCATGGTGCATGTGTGGAGGTCAGAGGACAACTTTGGAGAGTTGATTCTCTCCCTGCACCTTGTTTGAAGCAGGATTCTTTGGTTTCTGCCCTACTGTGAACTCCAGGCTGCAGTTCTCCTGGAACTGTGTGTTCTGTGAACGTGTTCATGTACCTACTCAATATCGGAGTGCTGGGATCTGGGATCGCAGATGCACGCCCTCAGATCTGGCTTTTTCTCGGGTTCCTGATGTCAAGTTCAGGTCATCAGGCTTGCTTTCAACCACTGAGTCATCTCTCTAGACACACTGTATTTCCTTGTTAACATTTACTACTAACTGAAAAAGCCTGCATGTTTCCTTGTTTATTGTCTGACTATCCTATTAAAAGGGATTCCACGAACTTCAGGATCCTGAAAGATGTCTAGTAATAAATATTTGTTGAATTACGAATATATACATATATGTACACACCTCCGTTCCATTGTTTTTCTAGAAATAAAATGGCTCCATAGCTTGTTTTTCTCTCCACTTTAATGTGTTGGGAGTATCTGGGTCCTACACAGTGTAAATCTAGCTCATCCCTTTTTGACCGCTGTACAGTAATCTGTACATCTGCCACTGTTTATGCCCTGGTTGCCCCAGAAGTGGACTTGAAGTTATTACAGTTTCTCTTGTTTTCTATCTTTGCTAGGCTTGTGCACACACATCTGTGTAGTTTTGTTCCTTCTGCATTTTTAGGGGCTGGGGACACAGCTCAGTTGGTTAAGTGTGGACCTGACTTTGGATCCCTAGCACCCACATAAAAAGCCATGTGCTGAGGCTAGTACGTGTAATCCCAGTGCTGGAAAGCAGAGGTGGGAGGGTCCCTGTGGCTTGCTGGCCAGCCAGTCTAGCTGAATTATACACCTGTCTTGAAAATACAGGGTAGAGAGTGATTGTGGAATATACCAGATGTTATCTCTGGGCTCCACATGCACCCCCCCCCACACACACACTTACTTACATGCGCACACACATGTGAACACATATAATCGTACACACATACGAAATAATTACCTGTTTTTTTTTGTGGTGTTGAGACAGATTTTCACAATGTAGTCTACGTTGGTCTCAGTTTGTGGTAATACTGCCTCAGTCTCTCAAGTGCTAGAATCACAGGCATGAGCCCCTTGCAACATCGTTTACTTTTCAGGACTTTGTACTAATTTTACTTTGATCAAGAGTGTCTTAAGGGGGCTGGAGAGATGGCTCGGTGGTTAAGAGCACTGTCTGCTCTTCTAGAGGGCCCAGGTTCAATTCCTAGCACCCCCATGGCAGCTCACAACTGTCTGTAACTCCAGCTCCAGGGGATTTAACACCCTCACACAGGCTACTTGCAGGCAAAACACCAGTCCTCACAAAATAAAAATAAATCTTTTTTTTTTTTTTTTTTTGGTTTTTCGAGACAGGGTTTCTCTGTGTAGCTTTGCGCCTTTCCTGGAACTCACTTGGTAGCCCAGGCTGGCCTCGAACTCACAGAGATCCGCCTGACTCTGCCTCCCGAGTGCTGGGATTAAAGGCGTGCGCCACCACCGCCCAGCAAAATAAATCATTTTTTAAAAAGTGTCTTAGGAAGGTAACTCCCCGCATCCTTGTCAACACTGGATGATGCCAGCCTTTTAAACTACTTTCTATCTGTATGTCTAGCAGTTTTAAAATTTATCTTTGTGTTGCTGGAGATCAAACCCTGAGCCTTGGGCATGCTCGGCAAGCATCCTACCTCTTTGTTATTCCCCGTCTCATCTCTTTACCTGTCTTGTCATCATTTACATAAGCCCTTGTGCAAATTGCCTATTGCTATACATTGCCTATCTTTCTTATTAATTTGTAGGAGTTCTTTATGTTTTGGGGTAGATACTTATGCATTTGGCATCGAAGATGTAAAATTCTGTGTGTTATGTGTGCTCACACAGGTGTGCACACATGTGGAGGCCAGAGGAAGACATCGGGTGTCCTGCTCTATCACCCCTCTGCCTTATTCCCTTGAGACAGGGTCTCTCACTGAACCTGGAGCTAGGCTGGTGGCCAGGAAGCCAAGTGAGCCTCCTGTTTCTGCCCTAAACAGTGCTGGAGTTACAGATGTTCACCATGGCCTGCTTTCTCAGTGAGTGCTAGGGGCCAGACTCAGGTCCGCATGCTTGAGCAGCAAATGCTCTTGCCCACTGAGCCATCTCCCCAACCCCAAAGATAGAAACATTGCTCCCTAGATTGTTTGCGTAATTTGTATTTGTGATGTCCTTAAACAAACAAACACCATTCATTTGTGTGTGCCTGAATCCGCGTGCATGAGTATGGATGTGCTCATTATGGGACACATGGATGTCAGATGACAGGAGTCACTTCTCCCTCCACCGTATGGTCCTGGGGGTTGAACTCCTGTGGGCAGACGTGGCAGCAAGTACCTTTACCTGCTGAGCCACCTCACCAACCGTCATGATGTCTTTTAAAGAAGTTTTCGTATTTCTGCAGTGAGAGCATCCAGTTTCCTTTGGAGTACTAATTGTTGGTCTTGCTTGGGAAGACATCTTATGCCTCAAACAGAACCAAATATTGATTCTTTCTCTTTGGTACTGGGGATTGAACTTGGGGCCTTGTGTGTGCTAAGCAAGTGCTGTACCAGTGTACTGTATCCCTAGCTTCTCTTTTGTTTTACTTTGTGCTTTTATTTTTTTCCATTAAAATTTCAGTTCTTTTTAAAATTTATTTTATTGATTATATTTATTTTATTTATTATATATAATGTTCAGTCTGCATGTTTGCCTGCATGCCAGAAGAGGGCATCAGATCCCATTATAGATGGTTGTGAGCCACCATGTGGTTGCTGGGAATTGAACTCAGGACCTCTAGAAGAGCAGCCTGTGCTCTTAACCTCTGAGCCATCTCTCCAGCCCCAAATTTCAGTTCTTGAGGATTTATGTACATGTGGTGAAGGAAAGCCCTTTTTCCCTAGCCCCTTTACTAATGCTGTGTACTGAGTCTTGTGTATGTCTGTCACACTGCTCTTGGGAATTGTCGCCGTGAATGGTGGGTCCTTCTGGGAGGGGCAGTCAGGTCTAACGGCAACTGTAGTCTCTGTCTTGCTAGACTCTTGTGTGCTGTCTTGGACGTGGTTGACCACTTGCTTCGTATATTGGTTTCTTCCCCTGGATTTGTTCACAGAGAGCTGTGGGTTCCCCTTGGTACCCCCAGACAGTCCTGTGGGTCACCTCACTGTTTCAACATTGGCCTTCCTTTGGTTTGCCACTTTTCCCTGAATCTCTCACTCACACTTGCGATCTTGACTGCCCTTTGTGTGCTGGGGACTTGAGGGCTCTCCTTGCTCTTCTGCAGTCTCCTTTGAACTTGAGGCTTGCACATCTGATTGCCTAGCTTGTCCAAAGTGGAGCGTTTGGTGTTTGAGACAGGCTTCTCCTGTGTTCTTCTATGAGTCACCTCAGCCGTAGCCAAGTCCCTTTCTCTGTCAGTCCTTGCTCAGACACCCTGGGCTGCTACTTTCGTCCTCTAAGTTTTGCTGGGATCTAGCCCATCTCTCTGTTTCCTACATGCTCTCCTCTTCAGAGAGGTAGTGATGTCTCTTCTTGCATTAATGGCCTCCCTGCCTCTAATGCTCCTCTTCAGTCCATCCTTTGCCGGCTGTTTGCTGGCTCTATGTCAGCCTAGCCAGTGACTGCCCATCCTCTGCGGAACAAAAAACAGGAGGTGAGATGTACACACACACACACACACACACACACACACACAAAAAAAAAAAAAAAAAAAAAAAAAAAAAAAGAACAGGAGGTGAGATGTTCACACACACACACACACACACACACACACACACACACACACACACACGTGAACTCACGCTTCTGTGTCAACATTGCCTGTTGTTCTGTGACACCTCTCTCTACCTCTTTCACTTAGTAATGATTCACCCTTCAACACTGTGATCAATGGCCTTTTGTTTTGCTTCTAAAACCCCTCTGGGTTCCTGTGTCCGAGGGAGAGTGGCATTGTTCCTTGGCACTTGACTCTTAGTCTTCTCACTGGTGCAGCCTGCCCGTCCCTGCCTGCTGTCTGTCCACCACGTGTTTTCCCTCCTGACTCTGCAGGCACACTAACATTCACATCTGTGCTTTTGCACAAATGGAGAAGCCAGGATGGAAAAGGGATTTAGCACCATCTACTCAGTTCATGTGCAAGAAGCTGAGGATCTGTGAGACTGACAGTTGCAGGGTCATGGGCTGAGTTGGACGTGAGGTTTGGATCTAGATCATGGCCAGTTCCACTCCACCCCTCAGCCTTATTCCTCCTGTGAGGAGCCTCAGGCCGGGTGGATGCAGAAATGCACAGCCCAGGTGGACATGCCAACATGGAGCTGGCACTTTGTATATCTTGTTTCATAGTCACCCGCTCTCCCAGTTTAAGAAGTATACAAATTGTTTTCCTTGGGGTGTGTGTGTGTGTGTGTAGAGGCCAGAAATCGACATTGGATGTCGCCTTCAATTGTTCTCCGCCTATATTTTTTTTTATATTATTTATTTTGTGTGTGAGCACACACCCATGTGTGTGTATACCATGGTGTCCCTGTAGGGGTCATGACAATCTGTGGACTCAGTTCTCCTCCTCCACCATGTGATTCCCAATTGTCAGGCTTGGTGGCAAGTGCCCTTGCCTGCTCAGCCTCTCACTGGCCCTACCTTATTTTTAAGACAGTCTTTCACTGAATTCAGAGCTCACTGTTTGTCTAAGCTGGCTAACCAATGAGCTCTAGCTATCTGCCTGTCTTGGCCACAGTGCTGGGGTTACAGATATGTGCTGCCATGCCTGGCTTTTACCTGGGTGCTGGGCATCCACACTCAAGTCTTCATACTTGCCCAGGAGACACTTTACCAACTGAGCCATCTCCAGAGGCTATTTTTGAAAGCTGCCACTGGGTGCTGGGTGGGTACTCCCCAGGTCTTTCTTTGTGGACTCATGGCTCTGACACTCAGGGTCAAGGTTTGTGTGTCCTGAGATGGTAACCAGGACTTTGAATCTCTTTGCCTTCCCTGCAGGAAAAGGCTGAGGAGGTTTATCGCCTGTACCAGAACTCACCCCTCTCCTCCCACCCTGTGGTGGCCCTGGCAGAGCTGAGTACTCTGTGTGCCAACTCCTGCCCAGACGAGAGGACCTTCTACCTGGTGCTGCTGCAGCTGCAGAAGGAGAAGAGAGTCACGGTCTTGGAGCAGAACGGAGAGAAGGTGTGGAAGCGTGCCTGTCTGGGTGTGTGCCGGCCTGTGTGTGTGTGCATGGACTCCCAGGGACTTCGTCTGCACGCAGATGCCCACCCCAGGCCTGTTTGTGAATTTCACAGCATATGTGGTAGGGACTGCAGTAATCTGTCCCCTTCCCCCAGATTGTGAAGTTTGCCAGGGGACCACATGCCAAAGTGTCTCCTGTCAACGATGTGGATGTTGGGGTCTACCAGCTGATGCAGAGTGAGCAGCTTCTCTCTCGAAAGGTTGAGTCTTTATCCCAAGAATCTGAGAGGTAATCTTTCCTGCCTGGCTGCCCTGGAGCCCCAGCATGAGTGTGTCTCATCCAAAAAAAAAACCAAAAAAACAAAACAAAAAAAACCAAGGCTAGGAATATGTCTCCATCTGTAGAGTGCTTCTCTAGCATGCATGAGGCCATGAGTTTGCCCCCAGCACTGCAAGAAAAGTTATGTACTAATTACACACATACTAGGTACTCCATGTAGAAAACAGAAAATAAAGGAGAAAAATGACTGTTGTCCCTCCCGTGATTACAGCTGGTAATATCTTATGTTCTTCTGAAGCCTGGTGTTGTCCACAGGTGGGGAGATAGTAAGGCGGACCTGGGCCTTCACAGGCCTTTGTAAGGATCTCTTGCTCTTCCCTGAGATGCTTCTACAGGGATCCTTGGAGGCAGCCACAGACACTTCCCTGAGTTAGAGTTCTTCACTCTGTCTCTCAGAGAAATAGAGGAGTGTTGGGAGGCTCAGAGGCATGGCCAGGGTCTTTAATGTGTAGGAATCAGTCACATGTCTTGCAGTGGAAAGAAGTGTATAATTGTCTCACCCTCAGGCCTGGATCCCCTTGCCTTGCCACATAGAGATGCCAATCCTCTGTTGTGACTTGCTCCAGAGACTGGCATGGGTGGTTGGCCGTCACTGTGACTGTGGGGTTCAGGGAATTGTTGGCCTTCAGGTCTGAAGCTGCTTTCAGTAAGTGCTCTCAGGCATTCTTTGAGACCCTGCCACAGCACACCCTCCTTCATCCCTCCTGCATTCCACAGGTGCAAAGAGGAAGCCCGCCGAGCATGCCGAGCTGGAAAGAAGCAGTTGGTAGGTTCCCTTCCTCTGCAGCCTAGGAGTGGCGTCCTCCACTATCAGGGACAGGGGCCCAGCAGTTCAGAGAGAGAGCAGCTTGACTGGGGGTCAGGGTGCATCTGCAGGTATCTCAGGCACCAGAGTTTAATTTATAGGGAGAAGACTGGGATGCTCTTGTGGTTTGAGCAGGGCTGTACGCTTTGCCCCGTGGCCTACCATGTCCCATCTTGATCTGTTTCCATACCCGCCAGGCACTGAGGTCTCTCAAGGCCAAGCAGAGGACAGAGAAACGCATTGAGGCCCTGCACGCCAAGCTGGACACTGTTCAAGGCATCCTAGATCGCATCTATGCCTCCCAGACAGACCAGATGGTAGCCACGCCCCTTGGTGCCCTGTGGTCCCAAGCTCCCACACTGCATCTCCCTCCCCTGTGGCCTGCTGTTTCCTGAATCCTGGGTTCTTCCAGAGTGTGGTTGGGTTCCCTTCTCTGTTGGGAAGTTTGGCTTCCGTGGGTATAAGGTGAATTGACCTTGGGTGGCCAAAGAACGCCTGAAGCTAGCTTTGGAGATGAAGTCTGGTTGTCTATATTTGGCAAGTATTGCACAGGTAACTTGGGCTTCTCTTTAGGTTTTTAATGCTTACCAAGCTGGTGTGGGAGCCTTGAGACTCTCCATGAAGGACGTCACAGTGGAGAAGGCAGAGAGCCTTGTGGACCAGATCCAGGAGGTACGGGGGCCTGGGAGGGTCCATGAGAAAGGAGTTGTAGAGAACATGGTTGACCTGGCTTTGTGCCTAAGAGGAACCGTTCCTTGATTGTCCGGTCTCTGAGACCCTGAACATTTTCCCTTCAGAGCTTTGTGTTTGTCCCTTACAGCTGTGTGACACGCAGGATGAAGTTTCTCAGACTCTGGCTGGTGGGGTAACCAATGGTTTAGGTGAGTTGACAAGGACACTCTCCCCTCCTTTCTGAGAGACCTCACTTCCTAGACCAGGACAGGTCTGATCATGAGCTTGGCCCTCTGTGGGGCTCACCTGCTCAGGTGGTTGGAGGGAGCTAACGTTTCCTCCCAGATAGTGGTTCTGAGGGTCTTTTGTACTCTAGCATCCATACTGACAAAGCATCACACTGGCAGTCCTCTCTCAGGGCAAAGGGAAGCAGGACCTGATTCCTGGGGTCAGTGGACTATACCCATCTGACAGCCCAGCTCTGCCCATAGAGAAAGAATAGCTGCCTGAGGGTACCCTTTGCCTCCTGACTAATGTGACTGTCAACCCACAGAGGGGCTGCTGGGCTGTGTAGTTGAGCTGTGCTGGGCACATGGGTCCATCTCTTTCTTTCTGGGGTTGACATGCCATCTTCCTCCCAGATTTTGACAGTGAGGAACTGGAGAAGGAGTTGGACATCCTCCTTCAGGACACCACCAAAGAACCTTTGGACCTGCCCGACAACCCCCATGAGACGCTTTATACCAACAGTGTGCCTAAGCCTAGGATCTTGGATGCTGAACTTGAAGCTGAACTTGAGAAACTGTCCTTATCAGAAGGAGGTACGGAGCTGTTTCCCATAGATCCTGGACATGTGACTGGGTGACAGAGGAGCCAGGCACAGAGTGGATAGATTCCTCCCAAGAACTCAGTGTGCCTGCATTCCAAAGCCCGGCAAGGGTGGGGTGGTGATGTACGTGGAGACAGTTGCTGAAGCTCTGGGATGCTCTGGTCATAGGACTTCCCATTGAATGTTATCATTTCTTTTTGCAGGTTTGCCGGTCCCAAGCAGTAAATCTCCAAAAAGGCAATTGGAGCCGACTCTCTAAAGCCATTGCAGGAACTCAAGGGAAGGACCCTCGTGTAACAGAGGGACAACAGCCTTGTGTGTGTACATAGTTATTTAATGAGAACCACTGAGAAGTTGTTAAGAGGAGGAAAGCACCACTCGGATGGCTCTGGATGCTGCCACTCGTGACAGGACAGATCCGGCTCCTGGAAGCCATGCTGTGAAGGTGTGCTCCCAGCTGCTGCCGTGGACCTCCTCCTCGTCTTTCTAGTGCCACAATTTATACAGTCCCGTGTGTGACCGTCGTCTCCGATAGCCTGCAGTCCCCGCCCTTGGCGCCGTTAGGTTTGTCTTCACCCACCAGCTTCGTTCCGGCCAGTGGAGGTGAAAGGTCCGCAGCTTTGCCCACCACAGCCAGCCTGTCTTCCACTGCTGAGGTCTTTAAAACCAAGTTTTGTTATCTGCAGTGCCATTCCAGCGGCTCCCCTGCCCTCTGCTTATTGGAATTAAGAGTGAGAGTCAAACAGATTTTACTCAGAGACCTAACAGCTGATGTCTGGAGAAACCTTGTCCACGAGATGTTTCTCACATGCTTTGTCAAATTCTCTGGGTGTCCATGCTCTGAGTGGTTCAGGGTCATGGCAGTTGCGGGGGTGGCTTGTGTCGTTGGGGGCCATAACCTCTTCCATCTTAAGCAGAAGCAGATCTGCTGATGGGGGTGGGGGAAGGGTTAATCTGTCTTTTGAACCTGAGCAGGAGAAACCCAAGTCAACCACAGGCCCCACGGTGTAAAAGAAGCTAAGTTTTTGCTTTGGCCCCATCATAAATTACATGTGTTTTCTGGAACAAGCCACGTGGTGCCACATTCCCTGTTTCTTGAGCCTGACCCTTGCTGCAGGCTCCCTGTTAGGATCTGGAAAGCGGTTTACCTATATCCAGCACTCAGGGCAGGGGGCCTGAGCCAGGATGTGCAATAGGAGGAGGTGACCCTGACCTGCTGCATCTGCTGTGTGCTGCCACCGGCCTAGCTCTGCCCTGCACCTGCCCTGCTCGGCCCTGCACCTGCCTCCTGCAGGCACATCTTCTTTCTGTGAACTGCAGGGCAGGCAGGAAAGGGTAGGTCCGAATGCTCGGATGGCAGCGTGGAGAGAAGAATGACAGCCACACTGCCAGTCTGCTGTCCAGGACGATGACTGCCTGGATCTCTTTGCACTGCCCCTCCTGCTTGAGGTAGCACAGAGCAGAGGGGAGGACTTTGCTTCCGGCCAGGAGCACGAATCACTGTTCAGCCAGTCTCTCCCACTCAGCTTTGGCGGACGGAAATATTGGGGGTGAAGAAAAACAATCACTATTTTTTCTTTTTTAATCTGGTAAATAATTAAAAGAGAAAAACACTAGGTTTTGTTGTCTATTCTTTAGGTTGTGTCAATTTTCTTTCTTTCTTTCTTTTTTTTTTTTTTGATAGGTCTCATGTAGCTGAGACTGGCCTTGAATTCTTGATCCTCTGGCTTCCACCTGAAGTGCTGGGATCACAGCTGTGTAGCACCATACACAGCAGGTTATGTCATTGTGTCAGTGTCTCGTTCCTTCCTGTCTCCCAGAGTCCCACACATATCCACACTTAGGCTCTTTTCCACCCTGAGCCCCTGAAAAATGTGGAGCAGCTGAACAGTAGGGCCTGAGCTGCAAGGAACCCTGTCTCCGTCCAGCCCTGAACTGTATTTCTGGTTGTACGGTCTCCCCGGTTCTGTTCTTCAAACTGAGAATGACCCTGCTCATGTGATCGCTCCACCCTGTAGTTCTCTGCCTGCTCTGCGCATGCTGTCTGCTGTGTCTGTGGAGGAAGGAGGCTTTGAGGCTGAGAGCAGTCAGCAACAGGCCAGGTCTGCTGCACACTGGGTCTGCAGCTGTGGCTGACTGGGCAGGTGAGCCAGCCAGGAAAAGGTGTAAGGTGCATTAGCCCAGGAAGCCTTAGGATCAGTTCCGCACTATTTGTTGTGTGTCTCCGCACCTCGGGAGGGCCTGCAGCCCCAGAGTGAGTCTGGTCAGCTGGCACTGATTGACGAGGGATGCGGAGAGGTAGGGTGGAGCTGATGGAACTCCTGGAAGGGCCTGCATTTGGTGAGCCCTGCTACATGGTTTTGTGTTGCTCATTGTCTCTTGCTGTCTGAGCTACTGAGTTATCCACCCAGTACCTGCCATGGGAAGGCCAGAGCACTGAGACACAGTTTATCGTCACTGTTCTCTGTGCTGCTGGCCCTGCCCCTAGGCTGTGGCACCTTAACCACCCTGTGCCAGCAGGACCACTTCCAACATCCAGTGGACTTAGTCCTCAGTCTGGTGGTCTTCTGCTTAGCAAGGCTTGCCAGGCTTCTGTCTCTTTCCTAGGCTGTAGTAGAAATAGCCAACTTCAGCCGGAGTGTCCCACTGCAGGGACACTCCTACCTTCACCTCTCTATTAGAAATTAGAAATTTCAGTAGAAATTTCTATTGAAATTAGAGCAAGACAAGTTACGGGCTGTGTGACATTGGCCAATTAGTCTCCCATGTACTTTAGCCTCTTATTTTTTAATTACGTATGAGTGGTTATGTACACGAGTGTGGGTGCCCATTGAGGCCAGAATCATTTGATCCCCCTGAAGCTAGAGTTACAGCTAGTTGTGAGCCACCTGACATGGGTGCTGGGAACTGAACTCGGGTCCTCTGGGAGAGCACTACATGCTTCTAACTGTTGAGCCATCTCTCAGCTCCTACCTTAGTTTCTACATCTGCAAAGTGGATGTCAGAAGTACCAGCCACCACCTAGCATTGTGTCAAGAGTAAATGAGCCGAATGAGGCCGGGCACAGGGTGCCAGGTATTAGGAAAACGAGTTCATGGCTGGCATCAAATTGGAGATTATCCTGCTTTGATCTCCTAAGTGTTGGGATTGCAGGCAAGTAACACCGCACACTGTTTACTCTGGTCCTTTAAGAAGGCCTAGAACTCAGGCTAGGCTGGGGCAGTGGTCTCCTAGAAACTGAGGAACAACAACAACAATAAACAATTGGGGTTTTGATGATACCTACAGAAGATAATCAGGTAGAGCAGGGAAGGGTGGATTCTTCATTGGCTTCTCCCTGTGGCCCTTCTGTCTTTTCCAGCCCTTCCTTCCCTCTTTTAGCCTTTCTCTGCGGCCTTCCCTGTCTCTGCTGTTGTATTCTGAGTGTGAAATGCCCGCCCCCCCCCAGGTCCCTATCCAAACACTTGGTGCCCAGCTGACAATGTTGGCCTGACAGACTGTGTGACCTATAGGAGATGGCGTCTCCTGGAGGAAATGGGTCTTTAGGGGTGGCTCTTGTGGGTTTCAGTCCAGCCCCACTTCCAGCTTTCTGTCTGCTTTCCGACTGTGACCCGCTTCCCACATTTCTGCTACCAAGCCTTCCCTGCCCTTCTTAAACCCTTCCTCCCTAGGCTTCTTGTTGATGCGCAGAGGCACTTGATTGCAGCAAAGGGAAGAGAATGAGTAATCCGCTCTGCCACACACCCCACCCCACCCCGTTTCTGGGGAACTTCTCTTGCTTAGAAGTATTCGTAACTGGTTTTCTTGGATTTGGGGATTAAAAAAGTATTCTACAATCAATACTGATTTTTAAGATTGATTTTGTGTACGTGTGTATGTACATGCCGCAGTCCACAGGCAGAGATCAGAAGACAGTTTGGGATAGGCAGTCCTTTCCTTCTGTGGTGTGGGTCCCAGCAATCAAACTCCAGCTGTCAGACTCGGCAGCAAACACCTCTACCCACTGAGCCATCTCTTGAGACTTCAGCGATAATTTAGTTTCATACACACACACACACACACACACACACACACACACACACACCACCACCACCACCACCACCACCACCACACCCCAACAGAACCCTTCCACACACACCTCACAAATACACCACTCAAACACTGCAACACCCTTGCATGAACAGGTACACACACCACACACAATTTTGATCTCATCAAATTCTTCAAGTTACTTGTTTCTATTCCCACTGTGTGTGTGTGTGTGTGTGTGTGTGAACTTGTGAAGAACAAAGATGAAACAAGTTCTTCCTCAATCACTCTACCTTTTTTTTTTTTTAAGATTTATTCATAGCCAGGTGGTGGTGGTAGCACCTTTAATCCCATCACTCGAGGCCGAGGCAGGTGGATCTCAGTGAGTTCAAGGCCAGCCTAGTCTACAGAGTGAGTTCCAGGACAGGTAGGGCTACAAAGAGAAACCCTGTCTCAAAAAAAATTTTTTTTTTAATTATTCATTTTGTGTTATACCTAAGTGTTTTGCCAGCATGGATGTCTGTGCACCACATTCATGCCAAATGCCCACGGAGGTCAGAAGAGGACATTGAATCCCCCAGAACTGGAGTTATGAATGGTTGTGAGCTGATGTGTGGATGCTGGGAACAGAACCTAGGTCCACTGGAAGAGCAGCCAATGCTCTGAATTGCTAAGCCGTCTCTCCAGCCCCTCCACCTTATTTTTGGAGACAAGGTCTGTCATTGGACTTGCAGCTCTCTGATTCAGGGAACCTGTCCTGCTAGTGAGAGCCTGAGAGCATCCTGTCTCTACCCCAAGCTCCACCCTCCCCCTGTTGGGATTACAGACATGCTTAGCATGTGGGTCCTAGGGGTCCAAGCTTAGGTTCTTGCGTTTATCCAGCAAGTACTTTACCAAATGAGCTGTCTCTCTGGCCTCTCCCTGCCTTTTATGGAGTCTCTGAGATTTAAGCACGGGGCCTAGACTCTAACCACCAAAGGTTCTTTGTATACCAAAGTCTGACACTAACATAGAACTTTAGGGGTTAAACTCCTGCATGAAGCAGGCCATGGTGGCTCATGCCTTTTTTTCCTAGCACTCGGGGAGGCAGAGGCCTATGGATCTCTGAGTTTGAGGCCAGCCTAGTTTATAGAGTGAGTTCTAGGACAAGCCAGGACTACATAGAGAAACCATGTCTCGAAAAAACCAAAAAAACCAAACCAATAAGCTCTTATATTAGTCAGGTGTGGTGGTGCACGTCTTTAGGAAGCAGAGGCAGGAAGATCTGTGCATGTTCAAGGCCTGCCTGATCTACAGAGTACACGCCAAGCCAGCCGGGGCTACACAGTGAGACCCTGTTTCAAAAAACAAACAACAACAACAAAACAACCCAAACTCCTCCTGCATGAATTTGAAGGAGTAAGACATTTTCAAGCTGTAGCACTAAGTCATAAGTATCCCCACCAAGGAGGCCATCATTAGATTCTTATTGGTGAATCAAAAATGAGAATGGCTCATAATTTATCACAGGAGAAGGAGGAGAAAAGTAGAGAAAGGCACCAGGCCAGGAGGAGGGAACTTTGCTTTCTCTCATGGTGACTAGTTCACTTTCATCTTTGAAGAAATTGACTAGGCCACTAGGAAGAAAATTGCGGCTATTTATGGATTTTGCTAAAAGGTTTGGGAGATGAGCTGTGTGTGACAGGTGGAAGGTGTCTCCACGCTACAGTGCTTTGTCCCCTCCACCTTAGGCCAAGCGAGAGTGCCCGTTGGTTTCCGTGTGGCTGCAGATTTGAGACTGCCTATCAACACCGCAGCTTATAGAATTTTCTGGTGTTAACATGTATTTCCTTTAAAATTCCACAGACATTATTCTATTTTCTTCTGGCATGTGAATTGCTAGAGAAATATACAAGGCACTTCATTTTCTCCTCTTTGGTTTCTACCTAAAGCATTAGACACATATTTGTTGTTGGTTGGTTCTTTTTGTTTTTGTTTTTGTTTTTTTAACTTTTTTGGCTCTTTTGGGGAGGCTGCCACTCAGTTTCCAAATAAATCACATGGAGGCTTATTATTTTCTTATGAATGCCCAGCCTTAGCTTGGCTTATTTCTAGCCCGCTTTCCTTAACTTAAATTCTCCCATCTACCTTTTGCCCCTGGGCTTTTTCCTTTTCTTACTTCTATGTATCCTACTTTCACTCTTACTCTGTGGCTGGCTGTGTGGCTGCGTGGCCGTGTGGCTGTGTGGCTGTGTGGCTGGCCCCTAGCGTCCCCCTCTCCTTGGTCTCTTTCTCCTCTTCTTTTTTATTCTCTCTGCCTGCCAGCCCCACCTATCCTTTTTCCTACCTCACTATTGGCCATTCAGCTCTTTATTAGGCCATCAAGTGTTTTAGACAGGCGAAGTAACACAGCGTCACAGAGTTAAACAGATGCAGCATAAAAGAATGCAACACATCTCTGCATCATTAAACAAATGTTCCACATCATAAACAAATGTAACACATCTTAAAATAATATTCTACAACACATATATGTTATATATTATTTTACAATCAGAGGCAACCTTTAAAATAATTACTTTATTTTTAACTATGTGTATTTGCACATATGTGCACATGTGTGGTACATGGGCTTATGAAGGCCAGAGATCCCTGGAACTGGAGTTACAGGCAGTTGTGAGCAGTCTAATGTGGGTGCTGGGACCTGAAGTAAGGTTCTCTGGAAGTGCTCTTACCCACTGAGCCATCTCCTCAATCCCAAAGGAAAGATTTTTTTTAGCATAATCTCATCAGCCATTAGTTTACTTATTTTCTGGAACATCTGTTGTTGTTGTTTGTTGTTGTTGCTGTTGCTATTGTTATATGAGCTTTGGCTGTATATTTTGCGAACCTGCTGTTTGGTGCTTTCAGATTTAGAACTTGGTGGATTGACTCTTTAACCAGATGTATAATTCCTCTGTGTTACATAGGAAGGGCCTGGACCTTACTCCTACCTTCTTCTCTGATACCGCTCCAGTAGGGGACCAAGGGGTGGCGGAGTGCAACCCCATATAGCTTGGATTCAGTCCTTAATCTTTCAATCATGCTTCCTATTTTGGGTAAAATTCTAGAATATTTTCTCTCTCTCTCTCACCAGATTCACCCAATTTTACCGAATTTTTGGCTTCTATGCCTTACTCTTGGTCACTGTCAAAACTCTAAAGGTGTTAGGTTTTTATTTTTATTCTTGTTTGTTTGTTTGTTTATTATTTTTGCTTTTGGAGACAGGGTTTCCTCTCTTGAGCCTTGACTGTCCTGGAACTCACTCTGTAGATCAGGCTGGCCTCAAACTCAGAGAGATCCAGCTGCCGCTGCCTCCCGAGTGCTGGAATTAAAGGCGTGCGCCGCCGCCGTCGCCGCCGCCGCTGCCACCACCACCACCACCACCACCACCCAGCCAGCTCAGATGCTGAGTCTTAGGTTTTTTTTTTTTTTTTTTTTTTTTTTTTTTTTTGTTTTTCGAGACAGGGTTTCTTTGTGTAGCTTTGCGCCTTTCCTGGAACTCACTTGGTAGCCCAGGCTGGCCTCGAACTCACAGAGATCCGCCTGGCTCTGCCTCCCTAGTGCTGGGATTAAAGGCGTGCGCCACCACCGCCCGGCAAGATGCTGAGTCTTAATCATAGCATGCTTATAAACTGTGGTTTGGCAAGCAGGCTAGATCTGGATTTTGACACTCAACTCTAATCCTAGTTTTAGTGACTACTGGACCCAGTTGCCTGTGTGGAACACATCTTGTCAGTGGGGTGTCTCTATGCGACAAGAGGTCTTGGAAGATCTCTCATGGAAGAAGGAGGAGGAAAGATTCAGTGCTTAGAAACTTAACAAAACATGTGTGTGTGATTGTTTTGTCTGCCTGTATGTCTATGCACCACCTGGTGCCCGTGGAGTACAGAAAAGTGTGTTGGGTCGCGTGGAATTGATGTTACCATGGTTCTAAGCCACCATGTGGGCGCTGGGAACCGAACCTGGGTCTCCTCAAGAGCAGTAAGTGCTCTTAACAGCTCAACCATCTTTCCAGCCCTTTAACAAACAAACAAACAAACAAACAAAAACCCCATGTATTTCCTTATTTGTATGTGTGTCGCGCGCGTGTCCACGTGCTGGTGTCACTGGGAATGGAACCCCGAGAGCAGTACACCCTCTTAACCCCTAAACCATCTCCCCAGCTCCAGCTTCCCTTTTCCTTCCTCTTTGTCCCTCGGTTAGGTACCCGGCCAAGAGAATCTAAAATTAGAAATACATAATGCCACCACTATCTAGTGTGTAGTAGTTGTTCTCAAGTGTCTGGTGAACTTCATTGGTTCGAAAAGAAAAAGGAAATAACTGACTTTGGAATCAGAACCACTTTTGACTTGTGTAACTCCAGAGAAGTCATTTCACCCCTTTGGGTCTCCATTTTTCCCAAAAGTATAATCACTTAGTCGCGTCTTTGCGGGGGAAGTCCTATGACTCTGGCTTACTCCAGCCCCACCTCTAAACAAGACAAGAACACGCCCCTCTGCGGCAATGCGATACCTCCTCCTGGCCGCACGATGGCGCTGAGCCCGCTGGAGAGCAGGGGGGCGGGGGACCCTGAGCGCGGCGGCCACTTTCCGGACAGCCGCGGTGAGTGAGTGCTGCGGGTGTTGGGGGTTCCCTCCTGGGTCCCCTGATCGCGGCTGAGAAGGGCGTCTGGGTGTCGCGGGGCAGTTTCAGCGGGCTGTGCCCGATAACTGGAAAACCCAGGCAAGGCGGCGCAGGGAGCAGGGGACCCAGCCTGGCCCTGGACGTGAGCGCCCTCGGCCCCGCACTCACGCGCCTCCTCATCCGGCTCCACAGTGGCCAGGGATTCAAAAGTCGCCAAAGTCCTTGCCGCACGGACACTTGGGGCTGTGGGCGGTCTCCGGGCTTATATTCTTATCCCGGCCTTGTTCACTGCCCCTACAGGCTCTGCCATCTGTCACCCTGGCCCTTCTCTGCTTGGACGGTGTCTTCCTCTCCTCGGCCGAAAATGACTTTGTCCACCGGGTCCAGGAGGAGCTGGATCGCTTCCTGCTGCAGAAGCAGCTATCCAAGTACGGGGAACAAGGGGGCGGCTTTAATATTAGGGAGGGCAGGGTTTGCCCCTCCCCCAGGTTCTGTGCCCCGGTAACTGGCTGGTCCACTGGCCAGGCCCTGCCTGACCTGAGCCTTTACCCTCTGCCGCCTTGTCCAGCCACATCTTTCCTTTGTATCCGAGCATCATCCCGCTCAAGCAGAAGTACCCATCCTCTTCGGAATGATGGGAACTGTATAGCTCCCTGAGATCTACTTTGCAATTAGGCAGGGACCGGCTTGGGCACAGTGAGCCTGGTGTGAAGCTACCATAAACCTGGGAGTGGCGTCCGTGGGAATCAGGCCCAGAAACTGGACCCGCAGCTCCAGCTTCGGCTTAATACTCCATTTGGTTTCTTCCCAGGGTCCTTCTTTTCCCCCCAGTCTCCAGCCGACTGCGGTACCTGATCCATAGAACAGCAGAAACTTTTGATCTCTTGAGCAGCTTCTCTGTTGGGGAGGGCTGGAAGAGGAGGACAGTCGTCTGTCACCTGGACATCAGGTGTGTTATCCTACCGCTGGAGGTGTGTTACCCAATTGCTGGAGGGTTCTCAGCTGTTGATGGGTGTGTGTGTGTGTGTGTGTGTGTGTGTGTGTGATGGTTGGGCTAACTAGCTAGCCCGGGAGGGCAGAACTTGGCAGGACCCAGGGCCAGGAACCCCCAGTTGTATGAAGTTAGGGTTGCCTTTTGCTTCATCGAGGGTGCCCTGACTTGGCTAAATCAGCTGCTGTTCACGTTGGGCCAAAGGGAAGAGAGTGCACACAAGCAGTGGGACCAGGAAGGGTGGGTCGAGAGACCTTGCTTCAGGGGAAGAACCTCAGCCTGTAGTCATCCCTATTCCCGTGTGCATCTCACAGGATGGACATCTTATCATTGTGACTCTGAACCTAATAACAGCTCCTCAATGCAAGTACTAGCCATCTTTTGTGTGTAACCAAAGATTCAGCACCCACTGATTTGATTGTAGTGTTCATAAGACCCTTTGAGTGTGCCAGGGATGGCGTTTTTTTGCCTTTGCCACAATGCCTTTGTAAGAGTTTTATTCATTTATTTATTTTTGAGGGTCATTTTGGTTGTGACCTTTGCTTAATGCTGGCTTGCCAGTGTCACGCCTGAATGACAGGTGGCTCCAGTAAGCTATTTTGCTGTCGCCCCAGACGTGCTCTGAAGCTTCTGTCCCTACTCCAGGGTACCCAGTTCAGATGGCCCCTCTGGGCCCTGCCGCCCTCCTGCCTCCCATCCCAACAAGTACCGTGGTCCTCGGTACACCTCACATCAAGGAGCAGCTGCTGGTCCCCGAGGTGCTCCTGCTGGCAGGTGGCATCGTGGACGGAAGCCGGATCAGCCTTTGTATGTGCCCCGGGTGCGACGAAGGCAAGATGAACCGGTAGCACCCTCCGTCCCAGGCCTCAAGGGAGAGGCCCCAGCTGGTGGAGTTTCAGAAGAGCCTAGAGGGGCTGGGGACCCTGAAGCTGATCTGGGAGTCCCTATGTTGGTGACTCAGGGAACAGAGCTCCGGAAGAGCCCGGATTCAGGCTATGCAAATGATTCACAGCTGGAGCTGGGTGACACTGAGTCCTCTGAGAATCCTTCTGAGAAGGAACAAGGGGTAGAGACAGTCCTGCAGCAGGGGTCCAGCCCACAGCTGGCCGTGGAGGAGGAAAATAGGAGTCATCTGGTGCAGAGCCTGGTGGACCAAGAGGAGGAAAAGGGAGAGGGAAAGGAGAGAGAGACGGTGGGTGAGGAAGAAGAGGAGGTAGGCAAGCAGAAAGGGATGGTGGATGAGGAGGAAGAGAAGATGGATGAGCAGAAAGGGAAGGTGGATGAGGAGGAAGAGAAGATGGATGAAGAAGAAGAAAAAGTGGATGGGGCAGAAGAGGAAGAGGATGATGACATGGACCATGGCGATTCCAGTGAGCTGCTTCAGGAGGTGATGAGGCTCTAGAGCCCAGAAAAGGGAGGGCGGAGGTGAGGTGGGTGTGGCCTCAGGTGTGTGGGAGAAGGGCCTTGGGCTGGAAGTGAGGGGGATGTGCTAATGGGATATTGGTAGAATGGCTCGGGCCTGGGTGTTGGGTGATAGCAGTCGCTTAGGGAACCTGGAGAAGGAACGGTTGTATTTGGGTCCCAGTCCAACCATTTAGGAGATGGTTAGCCCTAAGCAGGTCATTTGCTCTTTAAAGTCGCTTCCTCATAGGAAAAAAAAGGGAGTGCATATATCACAAGGTAGTGAAACAGTCCTCACAGGTGCCTTGCTCTCTGTTAGAGAAAATCATCCCCCTGCCTGGAGCTTTGCCTTAGAAATTGTAGTTTCTTGAGACCATGTGCCTGCCCTGCTTGTTGGCTTTGGATCAGTTGGGATGGGAGGGTGGGTATCTTTGGTTTCTGTTTTATGCACAGTCTTTGAGAAGACCACATTTTTAGTAAGGAAACTAAAGATACTGGCTTTGTCCAGCTCTTTTTTTCTACAGACCCTGAAATTTTGGGCAGACTACTTAACTCTGCCCCTCCATGTTTCCATCTTTAAAGAGGGTATATATAGAATGCACTTTTCAAGTTTAGGTGAAACAGTGGGCGCGGTTGGCAGCCATCTAATGGGGACTTCATAAAACCAAGCACCCTCCCCTAAAACATCCACATTCTGAGGCTCCAAGCTGCCATACCCAGATTCCTACCGAGCAGACTTCTCCCCAGAACTATCAGTTTGGAAAGCATCGGTGGGGCCCTGTGTGTCAGAGCTCCCCCTTGCCAAAGGGTCCATTCACTCCCAGATCACAGCCAACCTGACCGAAAAGGAGATTGAGATAGAGAAAATCCACTTGGACACATCCTCCTTCTCAGAAGAGCTACCCGGGGAGAGGGACTTGGCCCACGTGGTGGAGATCTATGACTTTAAGCCAACACTCAAGACGGAGGACCTGCTGGCCACCTTCTCTGAGTTCCAGTGAGTATTAAAGACTGGGAGAAGCTAGGCTAGCCCTTCCCTGCTAGGGATGATTGCCTGCCCCTGAAAGGAAGGCTGAAAGTAGGTGTGGATGTCTGGGCTACTTGCCCTGAGGCAGGTTGACCTTTGTCTTTGCTTTACCTATGAGGACTTTCTAAAGCCCCTTTCTGGGGCAGGAGAGATGGCTCAGAGATCACTGGCTGTCCTTACTGAGGACCCAGGTTCAATTCCCAGCATCCATATAACAGCTCACAATCATCTGTAACTCTAGTCCCAGGGGACCTGAAGCTCTTTTCTGACTTCCAAGGGCACCGGGCATGTACGTGGCACAGTTATAAGTGCAGGCAGAACACTCAGGTACATAAAACAAGTAAATAAGTGCTCAAAGGAATTTTCTATAAAACTCAAGAATCTTACATACTTCAATAACTATCTAACTATTAGGGTACATCCTAATATCCTAATAGAAGAGAGCCTTAAGACATGATGAGTAAGAGCGCTTGCTGTTCTTGCAGAGGACCTGGGTTTGGGTCCCAGCACCCACACAGTGGCTCAGAATCATTGGTAACTCCAGTTCCAGGAGATCTGTGGGCACCAGGCATGCATGTGGTACACATTTACACATGCAGGCTAAACACTCACGCATAAAATAAATCTAATAAAAGTAAATAAAACCCCTTCATTCCCGGGCTTCCTCTCCGACACTGCTTCCCATCCCGTTGTCCCTTGTCCTCTGCACCCGTGCTGAAGGGACAGCTGAGGGGGTGGCACAGTTTACTTTTTCAGCTGTCTCTCACTCTGTGGCCACACAGGGCCAACACTGACGCCCTGTCAAGTGGGCAGTGCCACTAGAGGAGTAGGGCCGTTCCAGAGCTGCTTCTAGCTTTTCCTAGGCACAGAGTACATGGTGGTTTCCTGAGAAACAGGGAGAAGGCCACCCAGAGCCACGTCCCCAGTGTGCTTGTTTGGACATCTCTCCTCTCCTACCACATAAGCCTTTTAGCTCTCTTACTCAGAGCCCATGCCCAGCCTGGCTCTGACAGGACCTGGGGAGTCTTCGTCACTCTTTGCTTTGGGCTGGATGAGTCTTCCAGTACTGGCTCGTTCTAAAATTCTAGACGCTGATGTTTACAGGATGACATTGGGTCTTCCTGGAGCTGACTTAATGCTCTGACGAGAAAGCACGCCATGATCCTCTCTAACGAAAGAGATAGCTTTATCTTAGGGTTTGCGTTGGGAGGGACCTAGCCTTCAGGATCCAAGGGGAAAGGGTCCTGAGCACCGGCTTTTGTGAACCCCTGTGTCCTCTCCTCACACAGAGAGAAAGGCTTCAAGATCCAGTGGGTGGATGACACTCACGCCATCGGCATCTTTCCCTGCCAGGCCTCAGGTAAGGTGGCTTCCTGTTGGGCTGTGCTCCTTCTCTGGCCTCCATGGTGAGCAGAGGTGCCTGGGTTCCCTGGGTGGAGGGCCAGCCATGTCTAGGTGGAGGGCCACCCACGTCCAGGTGGAGACCACCCTCAGCTCATGGCTCAGCTCTCAGCAAGCCTGAACCACAGTCTGGGTGCCGGGTCCTATGGCCTGGGAAACTCAGGAAGTCTATGGCCTTTCCTCTTTCTGTTGACACCATCAGTACAGAGGACATTATTAGGATCAGGGACATTTACTGAACAGGTGGCATGGGCCAAGCCATAGGTTCTTCCCCAAAGGGAACGAAAGCATCAGGTGCTGTTGCCCTGGGTCACAGGCATGCAGCACAGGGTGCAGGCAGGTGCGGTATCAGTCAGTTTTCACGTCAGCCTCGGGTGTGAGGCCCATCACTCCCCCCACCCTCCAGAGTGCCAGGGTCTATGTTGGAGTATGGACGTCTCACTGTGGAAGCTGGAGCACCATGCAGCCTCCTCACTGTGACTCAGGACTCCTTGTCCCCTTCAGCCACTGTCCCCTGCTGTCCCTGCCATTCCACTGCCACTTTGGGTGTATCTAGAAATAAGACTCTCCAGTCCCGAACCGTGTGTATGCACCAGAGCCTGATGCACATCAGAGCCGGGAACATCCTACTTGGGTTTGGCCTGGTCCTGGTAAAGTCTAAAGTTGAGGGTGGAGAGTTGCAGAGGGAGGGATGGGGGCGGAGCCCCTGGAAGGGAGGTAGGAAATCAGTCCAAGTGGTCAGGGGAACTATGGAAGAATAAGCTCTGGCTGGGTATCTTAGTGAGTTTCTATTGCGGTGGTGAAACACCATGACCAAAGAGCAAGTTAGGGAGGGAAGGGTTTATTTGGCTTACACTTCCACATTGCCGTTCATCACTGAAGGAAGTCAGGACAGGAACTCAAACAGGGCAGGATCCTGGAGGCAGGAGCTGATGTGGAAGCCATGGAGGGGTGATGCTTACTGGCTTGCTTCCCCTGGCTTGCTCTGCCTGCTTTCTTATAGAACTCAGGACCACCAGTCCAGGGGTGGCACCACCCACCATTGATCACTAAATAAGAAAATACCTTACAGCTGGATCTCATGGAGGCATTTCCTCAACTGAGTCTCCTTCCTCTCTGATGACTCTAGCTTGTGTCAAGTTGACACACAAAACCAGCCAGTACACTGGGGTAGCCTTGGCTGCCTCCTGGGCCTGTCCTAAACAGTATAGCAAGAGTGGGTCATGCCCTGGCTCAGTTTCTTTGTCCATATAACACACCTGCTGTGTCCCAATGTCATGTGCACCTTGGCTCAGCGTGGGCAGTGCAGGGAGTACTGGTGTCCCTGGAGACCTTGGGGGATAGAAGGAGAGTCTGGTCTAAACTCTGACTTTCACAGGCAGAGCCTACCCATCTTGCTGTGAGTATCTGAACACAGGGCTGGGGCATCATCTGACATCACAGGCAGTGCCCACTACACAGTTCCATAGGGATATGGGGAACAAGGTGGCACAAGAATCATCCCGGATCTCCCTCATTTCTCCAGCTGCTGAGGCCCTGGCAAAGGATTTCTCCGTGCTCAAGATCCGGCCGCTCACACAGGGGACAAAGCAGTCCAAGCTGAAAGCCTTGCAGAGACCAAGTAAGGGGAGCCTGTCCCTCCACAGGGAGGCTGTGTGTGCTTTTGTGTTTGGTTTGTCTGCCCTTCTTTATTTCCCTGCTCTTCAAGAGCCCGAGCTACAGCAGCTGGTGAGGCTCAGCCTCCCCTAGGCCTGGAGAGGGACTAGGGTCAGCTACGCTCACACCTTCCTCTGGTCCTTGATCTAGGAAAAGCCCCGTCTGCCTTCTAGAGGGCCATGAAGACTGTCCCTGGAAGGGTAAAAAGTGCTTGGGCCTTGGGATCAGCCCTAGATGGGTTCTTGGTTGTTACTTACCTCAGTTGACCTGGGGCGAGTCACTTATACAGGAGCTAGATGTCAACTGTTAGCTCCCTCCCTTTCCTCTTCCAGAAAGCATGGTGGGGGCTCTCAGAGGTTAGTTTCTATGATAGCAAAGCAGGAACCAACAGAATGGGCCCAGGGGAGGTCTGCCAGAGCCATCCATGCCACTGTGAATGGTGACATGGCCTTGTCCTAGACTTCTTAGAAACAATGAATATCCCATCTTTATGTCCAGTGGTCCAGGTATCCTGTCCTGAGTGTTTCTTCCCAAAGGGCCTCACAGAGCAAGGGGATACAGGGTTAGTTCCTCCTCAGCCCCACCGTACGGATGAACCAGGTTGACAGGTCCCACAGGGAGGCAGAAATCCAGGCCTAGGGCCTTCCTGGGGCCCTCTCACAGGCATCTGACTGCTGTGAGCACAGCTGGGCTCCAGCCTCTGCTCCATACCATTAGACATGGGCTGACCCTCACCTGGCTTTCAAGGCTGCCCCGTCACCCAGAGGAGAGACATCCCTGGCCTTGAATCCAAATCCCACCCACTGGGTCTTCCTTTCAGAGCTTCTGCGGCTAGTGAAGGAGAGGCCACAGACAGATTCAGCGGTGGCCCGCAGGCTGGTGGCCCGGGCCTTGGGGCTCCAACACAACAGAAAGAAAGAACTGCCTGCTGCCCAGAGTCTCCTGCCGTCTTGAGGCCCCAGACCCAGCTGTCCGAACTAGGCTGGGCCCTAACACCACACACGCCTTTACAGACCCAAGGACAGCCCCTGGCCCCCCCCACTGGAGCTGCAGTGGGGCATGGCAGGCTTTTGTTGATCTGGTCCCAGAAATTGAGAAGAAATAAAAATGTAAAGTTGTATTGCTCACATCCAAGTGTGCTCTTGCGGGACACTAGAGGGTGCTGTTCCATCTCTTACTGTGGGTCTGCGGTTTCTGAACATCAGGTCACCTTGCCTAGAGGATCCCATCTTAACTTGGGGGCATTTGTGCACAGGTGTGGCCTTGTTTGGGGAGTAGGTGGTACTTGCCCCTTGCCACCTGTCCAGATTCCCCTATTTCAGGAACCCCCAGCTTGCCATCTTGTGCTGTGGGTGTAGCAGTGCTTGGGTGTTATTTGTAGATGTGGATTCCAAAAGGGCTCCTTGCAAAAGTAAGCTCGAACAAAGCTGAGAGACGAGACTTGAGTGCATGCTGAGTGTTCCCCTCAGAAATGGGCCCAGGGGCGTCCTTGTAGGACAGACAGTGCTCTCCTCTCTGGAGTCTTGGGTATAGTATTGGCGGCACCGTGGTACACTGTGGAGTTTGGGGTCATTGCTGATCTCGGGTTTGCTGGGGTCAGCACACTTAACACAGGAGAGCCTAGGGAGGGCTGGAGCCCTGCTCTGCTAGTGCACTGTCTTCCTTGGGAAACTGCCCTGTGACAAGCTGTCCTGCCCGTTTCTGGCACACTGCTGTGTCCTTATCCAAGTTTCAGTGAACAACAAGCGTTGACGACGAGCCACAGCTGGCCTCTGCTGCTGTTCAGGTCTCTCAGATTGCTTCTGGGGGCCGCAGCCTGTACTGAGAGAGCCCTCCACATCACAGAGAACTTTGGAAGACACGGGGACACTGAAAGTGTGAAACTAAGTATGTACGACACTCCTAGATGTATGTAGGAAGCTGTGGGCCCAGGGGCAGTGGTTCAAATGAAACCTAGGTACGAATAAGGAACATTTCACTCCAGCCTGCGAGTATGTATGTGTGGTGAGGTGGATTTGGTGAGCATAACGTGGGATCCAGTTGATAGCCCAGCTGAACTGGTAACTTACGACCGACACTGTTCCGCGAACCCAGTAACATGGAGCCAGCTGACCGTGGACTGACCCATGAGCCCAAATGAACATCTTCCTCCTTGCACATTGTTTCTCTAGGATATTGGTCACAACAACGAAACACTTGCACAACAGTTGCACAGGTAGAGACGAAAACGGTGTTACTTATTAGTGTTGTGTGATGGCCAACTTTTATCAACAGCTTGACTGGATCTGGAGTCCCATGGGAGACACATTTCCGGGTGTGTCTGTTAGGGCATTTCCAACTGAGGAGGGGAGACCCACCCTGAACACGGGTAGCACCATCCCATGTGTTGGGGGCCCAGACTGAAGGAAAGGGGGAGGGTCACGTGAGTGTTGGCCTTCTCTTTTCCTGGTCCATTGAGGTCTGAGCAAGCAGCTCCTTGCTCCCTTTGCTATAGCTTCAAACTGCTCCTGCCCTCAAACCATGTGCCTAAATCCTTCCTCCCCTGCGTTCCTCTTGTTGAGTATGTGGTCGCAGCAACAAGCAGGGTGACACGAGCTGGACCTGTCGTTAGTGGTGCAGCAGGAGACAGCACACTGTTGACATCGGCCTGAAGTCCCCTTCCCCTTAGAGACCTCCGGGTCCTTGACTTTGCTGCAGAGAAGGAATTTGAGACAAGCCAGAATGAAGCAGAGTTAAAGTTTATTTAAAATATTTTAAATATAAATTTAAGTTACAGGGGATAAGAGGTGCCCAGGGAAAGAGTAAGGCACACCCGAGAGCTGGGGTGTGGGCTTCTCGAAGTGTCTTAAGTGTCTTAGTATACACTAGCTATACACAGGGGTTTGGAAGCCTTTGGTATTAATGATGGGCTGTTAAGTCCCACTGCCAACCTCTTCCCCTTTTTGATAGTGAGATTATGGGGTGGCTCCAGAGGTGTCTTGGGCAGGACTGTACCCTGATAAGGTGAAACCATGGGTCATGAGGGGTAGCATAAGGATCTTGAGATATGTTTTTTACCGTAAATAGTGCTCCTGGTGAGGTTCTAGGAAACTGTAGGTTTACAGCTGGGAAAGGAGAAAGGCCATTTATACTTCCTAATTCCTTGCTATTTTGACATTCTTACTTGAGATGTCTCTCTATAAAATGAATACTGTCTCTATATTAGCACCATTCACCATGTTATCTGTGTCAGCATTCTCAGCTGGCAAGAGCTTCAACCAGACTCTGAGGTGAAGGGCCCCTCCCACCTGGGTCCCCAGGATGTTCTCTTCCTATCCTGTCTCAGGACCATCCAAATCTTCAGTCATCCCCTAGGAGCCTTGGAATGTATGTCTTGCTATGGTACTTTAAGTTGTGGCTACAGCTGCATAGAATACAGAAGTTGGTTTAACTGGAGGAGGTTGTGATAGGTAACCTTGATTGTCACCCAGGTGGGATTTAGAACACCTCTGGGTGGGTCGATGAGGGTGATTCCAGAAGAGGTTTACCTAAAGAGGGAAGGCCCACACTAACACTAGTAGCACCATTCCTTGGGCCGGGGTTGTAGGCCGAATACAAAAGTGAAAGCAGCCGGGCGGTGGTGGCGCACGCCTTTAATCCCAGCACTCGGGAGGCAGAGCCAGGCGGACCTCTGTGAGTTCAAGGCCAGCCTGGTCTCCAGAGTGAGATCCAGGACAGGCACCAAAACTACACAGAGAAACCCTGTCTCGAAAAAAACAAAAAAAAGGGGGGGGGGGGAGAGCAAATGGAGCACCAGCATTCACCATTCTGCTTCCTGATTGTGGATACGATGTGACCAGCTACCTCTTGCATCTGCCACCCTGCCTTTCCCATGATGGATTGCAGTCTCAAACTATAAGCCCAAATTCACCTTCCCTCAAACTGCTCTTGTCAAGTATTTTCTCATAGCAATGAGAAGAGTAACAACTACAAGATTAGTACTGTGAGTGGGAACATTGATGTGATAAGCATGGCCATGGAGTTCTTGAGCTATGGGAACAGGTTTGAGGGGCGACTCTGGGAGATCTTGGGACTTTGGGCCTGAAAAAAAAAAAAGCCCCCAGAGTGCTGAGAACAGAGCTGAATGGATTATTCTGGTGGGAGTTTGGAAGACCAGAATGCCAAGAGAAATGTGGACACTGGAGGCCTACTACCTGAGGTTTCAGTGGGGCCCTGGGACTAGCTGACTCTCTGGAATTGAGCTAGAAGCCAACCATGTTATACCCTGGCAAGAATCCAGCTGCAGTCTGCCTGTGCGCCGAGCACTTGAGCGGATCTTGAGAGCGATGGGCTAATTTGTTTGGCGGAGGACATTTTAAGACGGGATAGCAGTCAGGCTGTGGTATGGCTCTGCTCGTGACTCTTATTCAGGCCCACTGTAAAAAAGGAGCAAGTGGAGCAGAAAGAGACAGGCAGATGTGCAGTTTGGTAAGCAAAGAACACACAGAAGTTTAAGGCAGCTGAGAAAGGGGGGTGCTGAGAAAGGGGGTGCTGAGAAAGCCACTGTGATCGTTAAGGAGCACATTCCCTACATGTGTGAAGTCCTGGGTTTCATGCCCAGCACTCTGGAGGTGGAAGCAGGAGGAGCAGAAGTTCAAGGTCATCCTCAGCTATCTAGTGAGTTTGAAACCAGACACAGGCATGCTCCTGCCACAAGGCCTTCTTTGCCACGACGACGCACCGGGTCCTCAAACCACGAAGGCCAAAACAGAGCCTTCCTTCCTCGAGTTGATCTTGTCAAGAAGTTTGTACAATGAGGAAAAAAAAAAATACTTAATACAGAGGTCTCGATATTCAAGTTTTCCAGAAATGACCTAAGAAGGGGGAAAATGGAATCCGGCTCGACCACCTCTGCGGTTGCTGAGTTCACACCTGCCACATCTCCAGGGGAAAATGGCCCATCTATGCAGAGCATGGTGATGTCGCACTTAGGATATACCAAAACTTGGATGGGATAAGCTGCTCATAGCTTGCCATCCAGTTCCCACAGCCATGTGCCACAGCCCCTGCCTCTGAGGCCTCAGGACAGGGACACGAAGCCGTGCCTGGTAAATGAAGGAGCACCTTTCTTCTCAGCTAGACCTGACTAGCCGGGAGAGGGCAACTGGTATTCCCTGCCAGGAGACGCTGTCACCTGAACTCAGTAGGTGACCATTAAGTCATTTTTCTTTTCTTTCTTTTGTCTTTTGTCTTTCTTTTTCTTCTTTGAGACAGAAGCTCTAATGTCTGGAGTAGAAATCTCGTGGCAATCCTCCTGCCTCAGCCTGAGTGCAGGGATTACAGGCATGAGCCATCATGCCTGGCCCCAGGTCTTCTTTACTGCACAGAGAGCTGATTATTTAGAAGTCCACTGAAGTGTTCAAACTTCTGCTCAGTCTCCTCACTGAAGGCTCCACCTGGAGAGCAGGAGTCAAGGAGACCCAGAATTAGGTACATGTTCAGCTGTGGCCCTACTGAGCACTCGCCAGGATGGTACTAGTGAGCTCTAGGGCCAGGGACTCAGCAGGCACTGTGCCAAACTTAGGGCGTTTAAAAAAACACACAGTGCCACCAGGAATGAGGCCTGTCGCATGCCAACAGAGGCAAAAACTGCTTTCCTTCTTGTTCCCCAAGGAAAAAGCTCTTCATTGGTGACAAGGCAGGAGAGTGCTTCCCAGCAAAACTCGGCACACAGAGCCCATGAACTGATGCCTACATAGCTGGGGTCACAGGACCAGTGGGTTGATGGCCTTAGCTCCAGCCCTTACATAGACCTGGGGTCTGTCTTGCTGGGCCCGCCAGTTCTGTACCACCCTCTCTCCTTTGCCAGGGCTGGCTGCGAAGACTCAATCCCCACCCAGGCCTTCATGCATCTCTGGCTTGCTTTCTGAACTAGGAATTTGATGCTGGCTCCACTCCCAGCTTCTCCCAGATTAGCTGCCTCTGGTTCCCGGAGAAAGTAGGGCAGCTGTGTCCTGTGTTCTAGCCTCTGGAGGAGGGTGGGGCCGCCGAGGGAGCTTACCTACGTGACAGTTGTACATCCAGATGCGGTAGCCATCATAGCGGCTCCTGCACTTCATGATGTTGTTAGAGAAGTCTGATTCTGGCACCTCGTAGTTGGGGTTAATGACAACCTGGAGGGAATCAAGTCACAGGACACTGCAACTCCTCTGCTGGCTGTCCTCCACTCCAGGGCAGAGGCTGTGTACCCTTAACAGTATGGCTGGGTCTTCCCTAAGAGAGGCTGTGGCAAAATGAGGCTAACTGGGTCTGACGTCATATCCTGGCCTGGCAGGGGCCACGCCGGAAAGCCTGTGCCTGACCTGCTAACCACAGCCTACCCAGGCCACGTGCATGTGGTACTGTCCATTCAGACAAACTGGCAAATGTCCCTCTCTGAGGTGGCCTGATTTTTCTTTGATTTCTCTTCTCCCTAAATCCTAGTTGTCCCCTCAGCCCCTCCCACTCAGCGTGGGTGGATAGCACCTCCCACACGAAGGCCCAGACAGCTCCCTGTCCATTCTAGCATCCCTGAAGGGTGGACATGAGCGCATCCGATTACAACCTGAGCCCAAGTCAGGCTCTCAGGGTGGGTGGGGCCCATGTAGGAGCAAGGACTGGGGTGAATTGTGTGGTCTTCACAGTCCTCCCCATACTCACATCCAAGGTTCTAAAACTCAGAGCATCTGAGGGAAGTGGATTGAGGTCTCTATATCTGGAGGGGATGAAGCAAGGACCCCAGAAACCCATCTGCCCATCCATCCCTGCCTCTGAGTCTGGGCACCCCTGGCCACTTCCTCCCTTTGGGAGTCCTCTTCCAATCTGCCACAGAGGTTAGCTCTCGTGTCCTGTTGACTTACACTCCAGAGCATCCACAGCTCGGTGTCATTAGAAACACCGGCATACCCCCACGCCCACCCGTCTGCTGATTGTACCGCTTAGGGGACAAGAACAGGACATAGAGACTTGTGACCTGCATTTGCCTAGCTGTGACATGAGGATACTAACAGGGTCCCTTCACCGGGAGAGCCAATGGGTCGATACACTTCCTGAGCAGAGGGCTATCCGAGACCATGAAGCACTTTTAGCAGATAGGATGATACACATTCACCCTGCTGAGTGACAGCGAGCTGCCAATAGGAGCCACCAGGCACTGCATGCATGCCCATAGCCATGGAAGTCCACTCTTTAAATCACAGCGCTCTGCTCCCAGGCCTGCTGTGGTTCTGGGTTTGGCTTGTGGCTAGAAAGTGCTTGGCTGTCTACTTTTTAGAGCTGATGATGCCCGGGGACCCTTTCAAAGCACCCTGTGGTTACTTCTCCGCAGGTGTTGGCTCTTCAAGGGAGTGTCTAGGAGTAGGGACTGTGGGCTAGACCATGGGCTGGTTGGATTCCCCACTGAGAATGCTTTCAAGGCAGAACAACCCATTTCTGGTCACACACGTTGCCACCCAATAGGGCAAGCGCTGGGAAACGCAACACATGGGGATATGTGGAAATGAAGCCTCTGAAGGCAGGAATGCAGCCATGTGCCAGGAGAAAACTGGGATACAGTGCCTGCCACATGGGCCTGGCTGGAGTGTGCCACAACTGTCTGCAGGAAGGTGGAAGCCAGGGCTCCCTGGCTCTTCCTCAGGGCAGGGTAGTTGGAAGCCTTCACAAAACAGTCTCCTGGCCAGGGTGTCCTTAGCTGGACTTCCTAGCCTTACAGCCTCCTTTGTGTGCAGGGAGATGGCCCTTTTGCAGATTCTCCTGGGGAAGAAAAAAATCACACAGTTGCAGGATAACGCAACTGCTTTCAGCCTCAATAGAACAGACCAAAGCAAGGTGTGAAGTCCAGAGGAAATCAGTACGGTGGCTGAAGGGAAGCCTGAGATGTGGGTTGCTTCGGAGTTCATGGACCCACTTCCTGGTTCAAAGTAGCTCACACATACATTTTGATTTCAAGCTCAGGAGGTTAACTGAATTATATATGACCATCTCTACATCTTGGGTTCCATTATGGGCTCCCAACATGCCCTGCAGGCTCAGTATCCTTCAGGCCCATGTGCCTCATGTATAATGATGGACAGATAAGATGGCCTCTGAGTGAGGCACCCTGCCTGGCCTCATGGATCTTACTTCTGGACACCCACAAGAAGGCTAATGCAGTTGCTTCTCTTTCTCCCAGCATCCCTGGGTTCTGCCCACCTCACCTGGAACAGGTAGTCTCCAGGGGGCACATCGGTGATGTCTATCCATTGGCAGTCAATGTCATGACGGTACATGTCCCAGCAGCCCATGGTGATACCTTGTTCTCCAAAGTTGGCACACTCATAGCTCTTCTGAATGTCTGTAGGTGGGCAGAGAAGAGCATTGCCATGCAGCTATGGTCCCCGCCTCACCTCTTCTAGTCCCCAAGCCCCCCAGCCCTGTTCCATCCCATCCTTCCCACGTGGGCTTCTGATACCTTCCCATTTCGGCAGAAACCTCTCACTCAATTCCCTGTCTACATGCCAGCATTCCCTCCAAGCCAGGCTCGAGGTCTTCTCCTCCACAAAGTGCTCCCTGACCAATCTGGACTATGCTGGCATTCCTGTGAAATCCTCCACCTGGGGTAGGGATGAGTGTCATGATCTGAGACATCTGTAATGTTTACTGTTTATCTTAACATGAGGTCCTCTCTTCTTCTCTAGACCATCAGCAACTGGACTCTGGGCTCATATCTAATCTGTCTTCTTGGTCCCTCATAGATTGTCTGTACACTGCAGGTGTTCAAAACCTCTTTTCTATGTGATTTCATGATGTCGGCAGTGGGGCACGCCAGCGTCTAGAACCTCATGTGAGCAATAGGTAGAGGACAGGTATCTGTCCTGAAAGGGTCCTTGGTGTGTGAGAGTGGCAGGTGTCCTATCGGGCAATCACGGTGAGGTGTGATGACCTACCTGAGGTAGGACCAGAATGATATGTGCATGGTGGTCAGGGAGAGGAGCTGGGAACATGACAGGGCTCTATAGCCTGATACAGGAGAAGAACTTGGTATTGGGACCCTAGGGAGAATGTTCTGTGGCAAGCAGAGGCAGAGGCATGTGAGTCAGGTTCAAGTTGACCAGACCTCACCTGGAAGCCATGCAGCCCTCTCCTTGCCAGTGAGAACAACTCTGGGGGACAGATGACGTCAGAACCACTTCCCCCAGCCCCAATGTGTAGCCACTGAAGGCCCCAAGAGTTGGCAAATAAAGGCCACGTGGATACCCAGTAGTGGCCAGAGTAACATGGAGAGGTGCGTGGCCTGGTCTCCAGCCAGATGGACTGTGTTCAAATCCACTGGGAGCGTTCAAAGTTCTGTGAAGCCCCAACCTTCCCCTTCAAACATACCTCCCTCACATTCTGTGTCCTCCAAGCAGAAGCTGGCCTTGTGGCCCTCAGCCACCTTGGTGCCGTTGAGGCTCAGCAGGTCATAGTAAGTGAATACCTCCATGCTGTGGTAGTGCCTGGGAGCCAGAAACAGGGCCCAATGTCAGTGTCTGGAACCACGGCTGCCTGGAAGCAGCTTCGTAGCTGGTGAGTTGCCTCTGGAGAACCCCGAGGCAGCAGGGCCAAGGGTGGCAGGGACAGGAATGAAGAGGGAACTGAGAGACGGGAAGACCAAGGCGAAGACAGTAACTTCTGGGCAGGGGCGTCAGACATCTTGCCACGCCTTGATCCCCTCATCGGGAGTGGGGATGACATAACTTAATGGGTGGAATGTTGTGGGTGTCCGTGAGTCCAGCTGACAGCCCAGTGTCTGGTATTTAATCGGCTCAGTACAACAAGCTTTTTAATACGCAGGGACCTTCCTGAGGGCCCAGCTGGCTCTCAGCCCACTCCCTCATGGAATCTTTCCCAGATTTGCCATAGGTCTAACAAATGCCCATGTGTTAAAAGCTTCTTTCCTGTTGGGACACTATGGACTATTTGGAGGCACAGCCTATGACAGTCTTAGGTGATTGGAAGCATGCCCTCAAAAGGGATTTCAGGTCCACAAGTCTCTTTCTCTCTCTGCTTCCTAGATTCAGGTGTGTTTGTCCCTATGCACATCCCCACATAGATGTGCTACCATCTGCTGCCCTTGGACACCATGGCTTTGAACCTTCAAAACTGTGAGCTAAACAAACCTTTCTTAATTAGTTTTCTCAGATTTTTTTTTACTAACATAAAACTATTAGAGCAGACTAATTTTTAAGATCACATTTTTTAAAAGTAGGAATAGAAAAGGAAGGAAGGAGATAAAAGGGGTGGGGTGTCAATCACAGGGAAACAGGAATCACTAAGATATAGGGCACATGCCCAGAGAAGAGCACACATGTACCCGAGTGATGTGTGTGCACTCTGGTGCGGGAGAGGAGGCCTGGCCTTGGCCTAAGAGCCCTGGGAAGGGAGCAGTAAGCCCATGCTCCTCAAAATGAGCAAATCAAACAGGAAGGGGAAGGAGAAGGGCTAGGAGGTTTCTGGAGAGTGGGTGGTTCTCAGAGAGGGGCATGGCAGCAGCTCGGGAAAGCACATCTCTGGGGTTCTAGAAGGGAGCGTGTACAAGCCGGGTGCAGTTAGCTCCCTCGGCTGATAGTTTACGGCAGTCCATGCCATCACTTGAGAGAAATTGAGAACAGATGTGCTGAAGAGTGACGCATCTGGTTCAGGAATAACAGGGGAAGCGGTGCTACTGAGGGCAGCTGAGGGGATTCCAGAACCATCCATTATGCAGGCCTAGGACAAAAGATAATAGGCTGGCCTTCGCCTCATCTCCACCTGCCCTGTGTGGGTCGTACCTGCAACTATTCTAACACACTCATCTCCACCATTGCAGGGACATTTCGTAAAGGAAGCCTCTTAAGGCACTGTAGGGGCAGAAGCTCTGGCTTTGTTTATGCCTAGCCCAAGTTTCCTCTTTGGTAAAGCAAGAATATTATTGCCAGCTTCTGGGGTGATGTAAGGACCAAATAATATAAATGACAGAGCTGGGGCTGCAGCTCGATTGCTGGAATGCTTGCCTCGCACGCAGGACGCCTTTGGTTCGATCCCCAGTACCACATAAACTAGCTATGGCGGCCTGTGAACCCAGCACTGAGGGGATGGAGACAAGGGGATGAGAAGTTCACGGTCATCCTCAGTTGCATGAGTGAGTTTGAGGCCAACCCAGGTGCAGGAGAACCCGTCTCAAAAAAGAATAAATAAAAGGACAGAGACATAAAAGAACCCAAATGAGGCCGTAACAAAGGATGTTCTCAGTGTTGGCCACCATCCTTATCGTGGCTCCGCCCATCCGCAGTCACAGCTGCAGTAGTCAAGGCTCCTGGGGTCCTGTCACCCAGCCTGACTATTGGTGTAGCAGCCTGGAGCTTCCTCCACCGTGTGTGCAGGAGAGAGGAGGGCCATGGAAAGGGTTTCCAGGGAGGAAATTAGAGGCTCTTTTCTTCCTCCCGAGTTTGTTCATGCTATATAAATAATGTCAGAAGTTGCTAAGTCGGGCTTCCCCAGGTCATTCATGTTTCTGGTAAAATGGTCCTGGGCCAGGGCCAGCGGACAGCCCTTACAAGGGACATTTTGTAGCGGATGAGGTGATGACTTTGAGGGAGTCTATTTTGGCTCCCTGCAGGGAGCGGATGAGACATGAGGTCTGACTCACGGAATGAAAAATGTCTGCTCCCTCAGAGAGGGGCTTATGTGACTTGCTGACCGGCTGGAAAGATCGCAGGGAAGTACGTTTACGTTCCGTTGTCTAAACAGAGTTCAGAGGGAGCCACAGACGGGCTGTTGTGAAGCGGCCTCCTGTAGTCAGACCTCCTTCAGTGTGGAACTGGGTCTTTCTAGCTGCAGTTTTCTTCCTGGGAGGGAGCCATAGGCTTCACGGCCCCCTGCTTCTTGCTGACCGCTGTCCTGGAGAGTGTCTGCTTTGTCTCCTGGACGCCCTTGAAGGCCATATGTCCCTTCTAGGTCCGAGGTAGACATGAGATCCATCTCACCTCCCACGGGCCTCCACCCAGGAGACAAGATGGGTGCCAGGAAGGCAGGAGGGAGAGTCTTGGGCAACACAGTGGCCCTCTTAGCAGCTCAGAGTCTAAGGGTAGACTGAGTCCTGGGGTGGGCACTGGAAATTGCAGACATGAGAAGAAATCCCAGAATACTAAAAAAAGGGAGTGTGGCCTGGTGCTTCGTAGAATTCTTATATTTGCTTGTTTGATTTTCCTTCCTGTGGTGCTAGGAATACTCGGTGCTCTACCACTGAGCTACCCCACCGGCCCTTGTTTTCCTTGAGGCAGGGGCAGACTGTGAGTGAGTCCAGTGGCCGTGGACTCACCATGTGGCCCCAACTTTATTATCCTGCTTACTGAATGCTGGGATACCAGGTATAGGCTACCATGTACAGCTTTTGAGGTCTTTATAATCTAGATAAAATGAAAGTTTGGCCTTTTCCCGTAGGATTCCAGGGCTCTGTGTCCTGAGAGCTGGCACTCCTCTGGGGCTATGTCATGCCAGATGAACACGTAGATGGAAGACACAGCATGCTCACACGAAACTGTACATGTCTTGCCGTACTGTCACTACAGATTGAGGAAGACGCACTTGGGTGTTTTCCAATCCTATCAAGGACTGCCATGAAAGACAGGGGTCCTTCTATGGGCTCCAGCTTGCCATCCACATGTGTCAGGCCTACTGACTGGTGAGATGAGGGGCGTCTAACTGGTTCAGAGGCCTCATTGCAGCCGTGGATTCTGACCCTGTCAGTGGAGGGGGCTACTAGGCACATGGTGGAGGCAGGCTGGACAGACACACCCCTTCTGCATCTGTGCCATTCCTGAACCCAGGGGCTACAGCCTGTGCTGGGGCCCATTCCTCTGCTCCTCCAGCTCCCTCCACCCCACCCCACCCTGCCCTGGGATTCCCCAAGAAGGGAAGGGCAAGCCCCCAGGATACAGCTGACTACATCGAGGGTACTGATACCAAGGGCGCCAGAAATGCATCTAAGAGCACTAATCTTTGTGTTTCAGTTAATGTCTTCAAGAGCATAGTTAGTTCTGCTCCTCAATGTAGCATTAATGAATGTGGAAGTGGCCAGTTCCCCGTTCACATTTATCTGAGCCAGGGCTCTCTCTCTTGCTTGGCTTCATTCATGGCTTCAGAATGTCTGTAAACCTGCTGAAATGGAATGTCAGTTCTTTCACAGAAGCAACTTTCTTGAGTTGAGGAAGGGCCAGGTCAGCTCTCAGGAGCCTCTGCAAGGGGCCCAAGAAGAGGCTAACTTCATCTCCCCTGGAAGGTCTTCTCAATGAACCTGAAGAGTACCAGACAGTTTCATGTTTGTAATCCCAGCAGTTTGGAACTGGGGGAAGGAAGATTGGGAGTTCAAGGGCAGCTTTGGTTAGATAGAGAATCACAAAACCAGTGAGCCTGGAGACGTCACCTGGAGCTCTGGAGGCTGAGTGTATGTGTGGGGCTCATGAAGTTCCTTGGATCGTGCGGTCATAGAATACCTGTGCCTACAATGTCTGTCTCTCATCAAAACTGTGCCATGCTATGTTTAGTTAAGAAGGTATGGGGCCGATCCCTGGGCACAAGGACAGAAGAAGGACTGTACCAAGGTCACTGACCAAGGGCACAATACAAGTGAGAGAACAACCTTGAGGGCATTACCTTCATGTCCAATTGACAAGAAACCAGGGGTGCCCAAAAAAAGGGTCATATGCTTTGCCCATGTTCTTCTCCACCCTCCCCTCCCAAACCATTGATGGGAACATTTGTAGGCAAAGGAGAAAAGAGACCCCAGGAAAAGTGGGGAGGGAGAGTCAGAGTCCTTGGGACTCCAGATCACAACACTGCCATGATGTCACCATATGGCTATTCTTAGAGTGGAGACTGATGGCTTTGAGGGTAAGCATATGGCACTAGGAGCTTCCTACCATGCAATCTTGGGTGGGCCACCATATGCAGGGCTGGGATGCAATTACCGTCCACTTATAGACCCATAGGCAGCACCAGCCCCTGCGTCCTGGCTTCCCACCACATGGTCTCTAAGGGAAACCAGGCACTGAGACTGTCATGGCTTTAATTCTACTCCAATTTGTACCCTGGGAAAGACGAAGTGATTCCTCGGGCTTTGGGGTATTTACAGCATTCAGCGAGTCGTTTCAAAGGAAAATCAGAAGCTGAAGTGGGATCATAGTATTTTCTTTTGGAATAGGCTGTACAACCCTATCCTCAAACTGACTTAAATGTGAGTGGGTCATGAGTTATGGCATGAAAAAGAAGCAAAACATAGGAAGGTGTCTGATGAAAGTCTGGAAGAGCTAACAGGGAGAGCAGCACATTTGAGAGCGGACGGGCCCAGCTGAGACCCCTGAACTGTAACTCCTTAGGCTAGCTCGGGCAGTTGTATGGAATTCAATGACCTGTTCATCGGAATGGCCAAATGTGAGTGCATGTACCTCTGATGTGATTGCAGTGTTAGAGCTGGATGGAGGCCTAGAAGGACCTCCCCGGCTCTGATGCGCAGACCTGTGGGGGTCCTACTGAAGTGCAGATGGGTTCATCGGTCTGCAGCTCTGGAACTCAGCATGCCCAAATCTCGCTGTAATGGTAGACACACCCATCCAGGGGCCTCACTTTGAAAGGCAGGGATCTAGTGCAAACATTTCCTGTCATAGATAGAATATTTGAGAGAACGGATCTACTAGGAGTTCGTGGACCTCTAGAAGAGGGATTCCCGGTAGGAGGAATAGCAGCTTCTTTTCCAACAGTGTGCCGGCAGTGTCCTCGACCTGCCCAGACTGAGGACAAAAAGTGACCAGGTAGTGGCAGCGGAGTCTGGGTTGGATTACAAGTCAAGAAGAGCAAAGGAAACATAGGAAGGGAAGAGGTCCTGGTGGCTTCCATAGGCCCTGGGGGCACTGGCTGTAGGATTTCCCACTGTTCTTCTGTCCTGACCCAGTCTTTGCAGCACCTGGATCACAGCCACAGATGAGCTGGAAGGGAGCCCAGAAGTCCCAGCCATGTGGCCCAGTTGGCCTAATGTCAGGCTGCTGGTCAGGGACTTAGGCTTAGCAGGCCTAGACCAGTTCTCATGACTCTGAGTCCTGGAGCTCCTATCTCCACACCCCTAGTCTTCCTAGAGATATTAAAAACACCGAGTAAGGAGGAAGACCAAGGGAGATTTGAAATGGCAGTTGGGGGAGGGGACTCATTAAAAGTACAACCACGTGTATGCAAATGCCATAATGAAACCCATTACTTTGTAGGCTAACTTTAAAATTTAATTCAAAAAAACCTCACACTGGTATGCAAAACATATTTCTGTATGGACAGAAGGCCCAAGGCTGCAGACCGGAAAGTTCCCTCTAGAGTACAAGTGTACTGTGCATGCCCGTAGAAACTGCTGACTGAAGGCCCCTGGAGGGCCCTGGCACTCAGATCAGCATGTCGCCTGGAGTCACAAGCACTGGAGCCAAGAGGCAGGGACCCAGCCAGCGAGCTGACTCTGGCATTCTAGATCCCTGGTCAGGCTACTGAAGAACACCAGGCTGGGTAACTGACTGACCAAGGGAGGCAGGGCCTACCTGTGGCAGTCATGCCAAATCCACGCGTGGCGGCCATTCTTGGGGCGGAAGTCGGACTGGCCGTTGTTGTGGATCTGGGAGGAGAAGCGGAGAAGGCGACGGTAGCCTGTGGTGGGGTTGGTGTGGACGGCGGAGGCTGAGAGACAGTTCTCCTCCATGGCGCACTGCAGCAAGAACATGGGCCTGTCCTCTAGGTAGGCAGTCTGTTGCACAATCTCGGCATTAAGCACCAGGTCAGGTGCGGCTAGGGAAGACAGACATGGGTCACAGACGGGGATCCCCTTCCATGGGCACCCCTGAGAAAAGTGCCATCATTCTGTACACGTCCTTCTGAAGCTGGCCTAGGGCTCCTCCAGGTTACCTTCCAGTCACCCCCAATTATACTCTCTCTTTTCCAGAAGTCTTCTAGACACTCCCCTTCAGTTCCCAGTATGGGTGGGCAAATGGCTGACACACAGATGGGTGATAGACACCCAAGGGCTCCTTAGATCATTCTCTCTACTTTCAAGCCTCTCAGACTTCCCATAATAAAAAAACAGAACGATAATGAAGGAGACACTGCTCACCCTTGGTGTGACTCTCTCTCTCTCTCCCAGCATGCATGCGGATTTATGGCCTACTAATGCCATTCCCCCCCAAAATGCATCTTGACTATTGATGTCTAAATACTTCCACATTCATGTTATGGTTCTGTAATATTTAATTAGCCACCTGCTTCTGTATTTTAGGGAGGCGATGCCTTGGCTGACTAGAATTTTTCAATTAAAGACAAGTCTGTGATCAACATGCTATAGTCAAACTGCACCTAAATTGTGTGGTGTGTATGTGTGTGTGTGTGTGTGTGTGTGTGTGTGTGTGTGTGTTTTCTTTAGAATATATCTCTAACACAGACATTTCCAGGAGAAAAAGCGGCATGACTATAAAACTTTGATGCACATTGCCAAACTGCCTTCTCACAAGTTTTTCCTGTTTCCTTTCATCACAGCATGGCATAGAGTTTGTGCAGAAAGGATGCTGTCCACGTTGTCGGGGGTGGGGGAAGGAGGCCTCTTTCTACAGATGTGAACTGCAGGGCTCCCGTGAAATATGGGCTTAAAGCATGTACTTCAGAAAACAGTTCACAGCAATGTCCTAGGCCTAACTTCAAAAACTGGGGGTTGAGACCCCCCATATGAAGTTGTGTAAGTGAATGCGGAGGGTCTTGAAAATTTGGGGGACAGTGAAAGGATTCTGAATACACAATGGCTGAAAATTAATTCGAAAATCAAATGCCTAATGAGGCTGAAGTGTTTCTGGCAGTGCCTGCCCATGTTGCATTGCGTGACTTCACCACAGCCTTGGTTCTGAACACACAGCACAGCATGCACACTTTGCATTGTACATGTCACATGTGCAACGCCAACAAACACTGCCCCAAACACCTCAACTCATATCCAAGATTTCCATATCTTATGATTTACAGTGCTTTTACTGTACACAAGTGTTTTCCGTTCTTGGAGAAACACGGTTCAAGTATGGGAAACAAAGACTTCTAATATTTTCCTCCCAGCATTCATTTGCAAATAAATGTAACATCGGCACATCTTCAGTTGTATTGTGTTAGAGTGTCCCTTTTCAAAAAGTGCTGCTTGAGATGCTGACTTGAATTTCATTTTTTAAAAAAATGTTGAAAGAATTTTGGTTTGGGATTAGAATAGATTTCTAATCACCTCTGAAATGGCCCTAAACGTATGTCTGTTGTTTTGTATTATGTATTTATGCAAATGGTGTTCTTAGCATTAACAATTATAATATCAAAGTATTGATCAACTCTTATTCATCAAGATTTATTTCTTTATGCAAAAATAGAAACTACATCCATCTTATTAGTATGTGTGATAGCTAGCTTTTATATTAACTTGACACAAGCTAGAGTCATTTGAAAGAGGGAACCTCAATTGAGAAAATGCCCTAACCAAATTGGCCTATGGAGGGTGCATTTTCTTGATTGATAATAGATGTGGGAGGGCCCAGCTTACTGTGAGTGGTGCCACCCTGGGCTGGTGGTCCTGGGTTCTATAAGAAAGCAAGCTGAGCAAGCCATGGGGAGCAAGTCAGTAAGCAGCACCCCTCCATGGCCTCTGCTTCAATTCTTGCCTCCCGGTCCCTGCCCTATTTCTGGCCTGGCTTCCTCTCATGCCCAAGTTGCTTTTGGTCATAGCAATAGAAACCTTAACTATGCAAATTTAATTTCATCTTTAATAAATGGTAAAATTATGTGCATACAAAAGAATTGTTGTAAAATAAATGTGTGATTTATTATCAGCAAATGTTTGATTTGTGTACTTATTTTATAAACCTATATAATTAAAGTCATGTAAAAATGTCTCAGGCATCTTGAGTGGAAAGGTTTAAGAATACTGAGCCTCTAGGACTGATTCCCAACAGATGCAGAAATCTCATTTTCTGATTGTTGCATGTTATACTGGTTAATTATCAGCTTGACAGAAGCTTGAATCACCTGAGAAGGGAGTCTCAACTGAGAGATTCCCTAGATCAGATTGGCCAGTGAGCATGTCTGTCAGGGATTGTCTTATTGTTAATTGGTCCAGCCCACTGTGGGTGGTACCATTCTCTGGGTAGGGCTGTATGAAAGTAGACAGTGTTGACAGAGAACAAGCAAGCAGGCAGCATGGGTACATTTGCCTCTTTCTGCTCTTGACCATGGTTGTGATGCTTTAAGTTCCTGCCTTGATTTCCCTGCAATATTAGAGTATAAACTGGAATTATGTACCAAATGAACACTTTTCTCCTATGTTACTTTTCATCAGGATATTTTATCCCAGCAACAGGAATGAAACCAGAGCATCGATAAGTGTTTCAAGAGAGCATGGTCTGGAGAACTCTAGCATTTACCTCTCTCTGCTTCCAGATTGTGGATATAATGTGACCAGCTTGCCTCCTAGTCCCTGCTCCTGATGGACTGTATCCTCAAACTATCAGTCAAAATAAACTGTTCCTTTCTTAAGTTGCTTTTATCAGGCATTTGGTGCTTGTGGTAGTTTGAATGTAATTGGCCCCCACAAGCTCATAGGGCATGGCACTATTAGGAGCTGTGGCTTTGTTGCAGTAGGTATGGCCTTGTTGGAGGAAGTGTGTCACTGTGGAGGTGGGCTATGAGGTCTCATATATGCTCAAGCCACGCTCACTATCTCAGTTCACTTCCTGCTGCCTGCATGTCAAGATGTAAAACTCTCAGCTCCTTCTCCAGCACCAAGTCTGCCTGCATGCCCATGTTCCACCGTGATGATAATGGGCCGAACCTCTGAACTGTAAGCCAGCCCCAATTAAATGTTTTCCTTTATAAGAGTTGCTGTGGCCATGGCGTCTCTTCACAGCAGTAGAAACCCTAACTAAGACAGTACTAAAAATGAGAAAAGTAACTGATAGACACTCCTTAACCTAGCCCTTCCCTGTTTCCTCTTTACCATGTCATCAGCCAGGTCCTGTGCTTGGGGAATAGCTAATTGTTTGTCCCCTTTGACCCAGAATCCTCTGTGCTTTCCTCTCCTGGTCACACACTGTGAAACCCCAGAGTCTTGGGAAGAGTAACCGATGGTTCCCTGAACTCCTTTAGAACCGGGAACAGGTGGGAAGAGTGAGAGGCAGCCCTTAGAAAGTCTTACTTTCTGAGCAGGCGACTCCAGCACCGAACCGCACCCCACCCTCAGGGCAGGTCACCTCCTCATCGTGGTGGCAGTGTGCCAGGGATAGCTCTGTCCCCGAGCACTTCACTCCACTCATGACCACTTGGTTGGTGAAGACATTTCCATGCCAGTACCAGGTCTCCTGGAGAAATCAACCAAAGAAGTCATTAGTATGTCACCTTGTCAACTTCTGGCTTCACAAAGCCCTCAAGGTTTTATGATCCCATTTTTCAGATGGAGACAAATGAAGCTCAGAGAGCCATTTATCCCAGCCATGCAGTTAGCTGGTGACGGAATGAGTGAACATCTACAACTAACCCTGGGTTTGCAGGATCGGAGACATCCATTCACATATGCCAATAATTAGCTGTCTTATAAAAGTCAACTTCTGAATTTAATTCTAGGAAAAGCATTTTATAGGATGCTGACTGAGGAGCCCCAGATTGATGATGCTGAGATTGATTAAGCTCTTTCTAGCAACAGAACTTCAAAACACTGTTAGCATACACTCTTATAGTTCAAGAACTTTCTAGTAGAGAAAATGGGGTCGGGGGAGGTGGGGACAGGTAGAGAGCTTGCAAGAGAACATAAGATCCTGTGCTCCTAAAGTTTCCAGGGTTTATTTTTATGTCAGCTTGGCTCAGCAACAATACCCAGATAGCTGTTAAAATTCAATTATAGATGTTTCTTTGAAGTAGTTTTTAGATAAGATTAACATCAATATCAGTTGATTTGAGTAAGGCAAACTGTACTGTATCATCAGGAGTAGGCCCTGTCCAGTCAGTTGAAAACCTTACAAGGAAAAAAGACAGAGGTCCCTTTGTGAACAGGGATTCTATCCTGGTGCTGGGTGCTCCCCACATTCCTCAAAGACTCAATTCCATCCCTCTACAAACAGCATACAGGACACTTCAGACTCAGCCCTTGGCCCATGGAGAACCCCAACATGCAGACTGGAGTGGCCCACAGACAGCAGTAAGTGACTCAGAGGGGTCCAACCTGCAACCAGTGGGCCACAGGAGATCACAACAAGCCCCCCATAACTATGGAGACTGTTTAACACAAAACCAAAAACTTACTTAAAACATTATGAGTTTTCTCTGTAATGTTTTTGCAACTGGAAGGCACAGTGTGAACTTTGTAGATAACAACACTGTGTCACAACGTAAACAACTGGACACCCCTGGAGCCCCTTATTCTGTAGCTGGAAACAGATTGGGATAGGAGAGACTTGCTCCAGGCCTTGGGGCTGTCAAGGAAGGAACCATGGCTAGAATGAGGTCTCTTGCCTTGGTCCAGGGTTTGCTTGCTTGTGTCCCTTCTTAGTGGCTGGGGAAAGTTAGTTTGATGAGAAGAGCTGAGTGATGATGGGAAAGGCCAGGCTGGATGGAGGGTGGGCTAGGCTGTGAGGCTAGAGCCCCTTACCTGGAAGGCGTTGCTGGCAAAGCCCAGGCCTAGCTGCCGGCAGACCACCATGGCCTCCACAATGCCCCAGTTCTGGCCACATACAGTCCCCCACACAAGGGACCCGTTTCTCTCTGTCAGCACCTCCACTCGGCCCTCATAGGGGTTGCGGCCTCCATTCAGGCGCAGCTGTGGATAGCAAGAAACATGGTCATGAGGATGGATGGGAGGCTGTCTCCATATTGCCGTTAGTTCCAAGCCAGGTGGTCCTATCTGGCTACCTTTGGATTCAGAGCATCCTTAAGAGTCCCCTGTGTGTCAAATTATAACAATTATGACAGCATGAACTCAGTGAGGTCTCACCCAGGTGTTTGTTCACCCATCCTGAACACCACTCTTTCAGTAATGTGCCTTCCAAGAAGTGACATGAATTATGTGTGTAGCATCTGGATTCGGCTGGATCCGCTTACTCACTCAGAGATACTAGGTACCACTGACCATTCACAGAGTCTCTCACTGTGCCTCTTTTCTCCCGGTGATAGAAGAAATGAAGCTTCACTGTAGCTAGACAAACAGGCCCCAGAGCCTTGTGGATGCTAGGCAAACACTACCAACTAAACCACATCCCAGATCTCTTTCCCTAATGCTTATGCATAAGCCCCAATGCTATTTGCTCTGCTTGGAGGTGTGGTCTCGAAGGGGACAATTAAGGTCACATAAGACCATATGGGAATGTTATGATTTAACCAGACTAGATGTCTTTATAAGGAGAAAAGAGACCCTGGGGATGTAACAGGCACAGAAAGAGGTTGCATAAGGACAATAAGAAGGTGGCTGGAAACGGGTCAGAATAGAGAAACCCCAGAAGACACCAAGCCGAGCAACGCCTTGGCTTGGCTGTATTCTCCTGGCAGACCCAGGAAGAAACCAGTCCCATCGGTGAGGCTGACGGTATTTCGTTTTGTCAGCAGAAGCAGACCTATGGTGAGAAAACTCAGATACTTTGCTTCTCCCAGCACAGTGGCTGGCACACTTGGGGACCCCACGCTTGGCCATGCTGTGCCTGGCTGGCCATCACAACAAACATAATCCCTCCTGCCTTGGGGTTGAGCTCAGACAGCACAGCCTCGAACCTGGGCCTTTGGAAGGGTGAGAGCTGTTGGCAGGGGTAACTCAGCACTTCTGTGGCGATAACCAGGCATCTGGCCTGGCTAAGCTCTATCTACTGACCCTCGAAAGCTTCTGGAAAGCCTCGTTTCTTTGGCTGAGGTCTGTCATGTCACTGAGCTTTGACTCATCTGGAGGATGACTCAGCACATTGGGACTTAGGGCTGGCCATGGGTGGCAGCGTTAACAGGGTTCCCTTAGAATACCTCTGGCAGCTCCAGATGGCAGATTTCCCTGTGTGTGCATTCCTGCTCACCCGCAAGGAATGCACAGCTCAGCTGCCGGCTGCTGGGTTCCCACCTATGGCCCAGTTAAGGATGGTGAATTGCATCAGGAGTGCCTTGGTGCTCTGGTGTCAAGGTCAAGGAGTGCTGTCTAAGCAGGAGCCTGGCACATCTGGTGCCATGGTGTGTCTGCTTTGATAGCATACAATGTTAGCTCTAGGACATATGTCACACAGCACCCGATGAATTTAAGGCACAGTGGAGAGTATGGTGGAGAAAATCCAGGGTGTTTTTGTAGCATTGGCTAGACTTCCTGAAGGACAAGGAGGTGGGGGATTCTTCTCTGGGAGCAAGGTCGGCAAGCTTTAAAGCCTGCCTCAGGAAGGGTGAAGTTTGTCTCGGGTTACAGTTCTGCTGACTCCCTTCAGTTCCTTCCGTTTACACACTGCTGTCTACGCACAGTGCTCTGCAGACCTGCCAGCCATCCATGTGGTGTCTCTGGGTCCTCTCAGAGAACCTACGCCAAGGGTGTCAGAGGTGTGGTAGACCCTGAGTCCCTTGTCAAAAACTCTGAGCTGCCCCTGTACCACATGCCTAGTCCCAAAGCAAGGGATCCCACAGGGAGAAGTCAGATACCTGCCACACCAAGAGTGGCATCTGCGTGTTGGTTCATTTGTCACACTTAGAAATGCTGGCTGGCAACGACAGTGACAGTGGTGGAGCCAGCGCCAAGGGTTCATCCTAGAGCACCCTTGATACCTCAGAGAGTCATCACCTTCAGGGCAAGGCCACCTGGTTTGTATTCTCTGGGGCCTCAACATCACAGGTCCCTCCGGGCATCCCACCGCCTCACCTTTTTCTGGAAGCCCATGATGGGAATGTTGCATCGCACACCAGCATCCTCCTCGTGGTTGCAGCCCTGCGACTCTGTGTTGAGTTTGCAGTCTATGATGGACTTCTCGGTCCCTGTGCACTGGACCTCGTTGAGGTGGATGGGCCCAATCCCTAGGAAGGGAAAGAAGATGGGTGCTATACATTCACCTGGAAGAAGTTTCCTGGAACAAGCAAGAAAGACCCTAGAAATCAGGCTCTGCCTCTTCTGTCTTCAAAACTCTCCCAACCACAGCCCCTTCTCCCGGGAGAGAAATGGGGGTGCATATTTTGTCATAAGTGCAAATAAAATTCACTACTAAACTGCTATGGGACCTTGGTCAGATCACTTAGTATTACGGTTTGGATGTAAAATGTTACCCATGAGCTCATGAGTTTGAATGCTGGTGGCACTGTTTTGGAAAGCGTGTGAAAACTTTAGAAGATGGAGCCTTGCTGGAAGAAGTGAGTCATGGGGGAGTGGGCTTTGGGGGTTTGAAGGCCAGGTACCACTTCCTGTCCATTATTTCCTTTCTGACTTCAGATGGATGTGATGTGACCGGCTGCCTCATGCTCTGGCCACCATGCCTTTCCCGCCATGATGAACTATGTCCTTTCTTAAATAAACTAGGCCCAAATAAATGTTTTGCTTAAGTTGCTTCTTGTCAAGTATTTGGTCACATCAATGGGGACAGTAACTCATACACTCAGCCTTCCTGGTCACTGGGTCTCTCTCTTTAATAAATGAGTTAGATTAGATGATGTTACCTTTACCCTGCAGCTACCATAGTTTTAGGCATTTAGGAGTCTGAAAGTCGTAACTGTACCTGTAAAGTTCCTGCAGGAAACAGGTGGCCTATACAAACTAGGAGGTCTGAGTTAGAAGGGGCGGGAGAGCATTTTAAAATACAGTCAAGGATGGGATGTTGGGAGTGTACATCACAGGGTACGTGAGAACTCAGGGCTAATAACACTGGGGCTTGGACACACCCCGTGAATGAGAGAAGAGCCAATAACTCACTTCGGAGAGGAGAAGACCCCTGAAAACAGTTGTTACCCTCCATGGAGGGACTTCCCTCTGGTTGCCTCCAGTTCTCACCAGTATCCTGTGTTGGCCAAACCCAACTGTGCCTGGAGTCGCTAGGCATCGTGGGTGAGGGTGGAGAGTGAACCCGGAAGGGCAGACAGGAGACATGCTGCAGGCGACATGGAGATGGTGCTGGGAAGCTTGTTTTTCTGGAGCTGGGATAATGTGAGCCTCAGACTGGAGAAAAAGGGTCCTCAGGCCCTTCTGCGCACGCCTGGCAATCTCTGTCTTAAGAATGGTGAACGTCTTGAAGAGTCATCTGGCTTTGCCTCTCTTCCCCAGCTGTTTCTCCACAGCCCCCCTCCCCCGCACACACACCAGGAAATGGCACTTCCTAGCACCCATGGCCTTGTTGGAACCCCAAGAGCATCTCTGGGTTTCCTCCAACCCGGAAAACCCATCCTCCATCCCAGACAACCCACCCATCACATTCTGCTCACTCATTTCCCCAAATCTGGATGCTTGGTTCCTATCCCCCATTTCCCAAGCCATTACAATTTCTTCTCCTGTGGACAATGACCAAATGACTTTTGGCCCCCTTCTCTGCCCTCTTCCAGTATCTTCCCCCACATAAAACCCCATGGGGGTTTTAAATTCATGTTTAATGCCTCCAATGGCTTCTCAATGCCCTTAGGGAGTGGTGTCCATGATCCAATGGCACCAGATGGTCTTGGGAGCCTTGCACTATATGGCCTCCCACTTATATCCCAGCTTGGCCTACGCCTCCCACCTCAGTCACACGCACGAACCTTGGGCTCCTCCCACCTCAGCCACAGGAACCTTAGGCTCCTCCCACCTCAGCCACAGGAACCTTAGGCTCCTCCCACCCCAGTCACAGCGCTCTTAGGCTCCTCCCACCTCAGCCACAGGAATCTTAGGGTCCTCCCAGATAAGCCACAGGGATCTGGATTCTGTCACAGAGCCAAGTGCTCCTTCCTCTGCCTGGCCCACTCTCCCTCTCTCAGCCCACCCACAGACATCCATCCATCCTTCATTTCCCTGGAGAAGCCTCTCTGGTCCTCACTTCACCCCGTCTGTGTTGCACCCAGTCCTGTAGTACACCGCCTTGAGCACTCTGCTTTAACTGCTTCCCGAAGTCTTTCCTGCAGGAGGGCAGGGACTCCATGTTTTCCTTTGGAATATTCCCAGCCAGTGCCTGGAAAGGCAGGAAATGCCCCCACAGTGTCCACACAGATGCAGCTGACATTACTGAGCACCTGTGACCTATCAGCCTCAATGCCTTGGGTTATGGACTCAGGAGGCAGAGTCTGTCCTGGAAAGTTCCCAGTGCCTGGGCAAGGCAGGAGTCACATGGAGACTTATGACGTAGGTAGTCAGAAATAAAGATGGAGATGGCCGCAGGTTCTTACAGCCTGGAGGGTCTTTGGCCCTATTAGGGGAGCGGTGTGTCTAGAGACAGTCACCATCTAGCTGCCCTGAGGCCAAAAATACTGACTTCTAGGAGGGAAGTGCTAAGTTTCTGCTTCCTTAGAAATTTATAAATGAAAAAGTTTCCAATTTCTTGCAATTTTATACATTAGTAAAAATACTTCAGGAAAAATTGCTGGAAGATTTACAAGGATTCAGAGTACAAAGGCTCAGACACAATACTGAGCGAGCCATAGGACTAGGGCTTCTGTTATAAACTTGAGGGTGATGACCGAGAGGTGGCCTCGGTGGAAGTTCACCATGTGATGGATCCCAAACATCCGTCCTAATTCACGTAACCTCACAACAACCCACTGTTGCGTGTGCGGCAGGCTGGCCACATGTACTTCTTGCTGTGGACAAAAGGCCTTTGCAGTCACTTCTCTAGCACTGCCCTGCCCAATACCCAGGCGCCAGGCCGCTCAAAACACAGCCAGGGCGAGTATTCGGGCTGTAAGCATAGACTACAAAAAGAATGACGAAGCTGTGTTATGAAAATGCAAGCAATCTTGCGAACAGCTCTTCTACCAACTACACATTAAAATCATAATATTCTGCATATACTGGGTTGAACAAAATAGATTGCTAAAGTTAACTTCATCTTCAATTCTTTTTCATGTGGCTACTAGAAAATTCAAAATTACCTAGGTGGCTATGTTTCTGCTGGAAAGCATTGGTCTGCAGAGTCGGAGTGTTTTACCAAGTGTCTGTTTAGTTGACCATACCTGTTCAACTGGAGTATGTCCCCCCCTTCCTGGGGTGCCTCCCTCCCTCGGTCCCTCCCTGGACATCTCTGGAGCAGTACCTGCTGGGCACAGACTCTAAGGACAGGAGCTAAGGCACACAGGCCTATTCCCTCACACTTGGTTCAGTTGTCAGGGAAAGTGCATGTGTTGGCAGACTCTTGGGACTTTTGGGGGTGCAGCGGGGGAGTGGGGCGGGTGCTGAAGTACAGCAAGAAGAGCCTGCCATAACCTGAACATCCATTCTGGTGACACTGGAGACAGACAGAGCCCCACACACCACCTATCCAGTCACCTTGTTTTACAGTGAAGAATCTCTGGACCAGCAGGTTCTTCAAGGTCACAGACAAATAAGTAGCCAGGCCAGGGTGAGGACTCAGCCTCTGCCCTTTCACTACCCATGGGTTTGGGTGTGGTTTCTTGTTCCATCGGCTAGAGCCAGGACTCAGGAGCTGACCCTATCTGCTCTGGGGCATGTCTATGAATGTGGTACTTTTCCTCTCCTGACTGCTATCGTCATCTCCCCAGCGTGGCAGAAGGCAGATACATCTTCCATGGCGCCTTGAAGGCCAACATCAAAGGCACCCAAGGCCGCCTCTTCCTAGAATTCCTCAGGCACTTGTAAACCTTTGGCCGCTCTGGGCGGTGAAAAAAATTAGGTCATACAGCAGTCACTCATTACACATGGAATGTCCATGTCATCAAGTGCTTGTTTATGCCTCAGGATGAGTGACTGTGGTCCTGTGGACCTCAGGAAAGCACAGACCATGTTGATCACCCACCAGAGTGGCCTGTGGAAACCCTGAGGAGCCTGACTTCTTCACTGGGACCTAAGGAGAATGGGTTGTTGTGTGGCAGAGCAGAGACTTCCAGGCAACACAATATGCTGCTGCGGCGTCTGCCCCAAACCACCTACCCTTTAGTACACACTTGGAACATTTGCACAAGAAAGGATCAAATGTCATCAAGACTAGTCAAGGAGGGAGGTAGCGTCAAAAAAGGAGGTGAAAATCTTTAGAGGAAACTTGAGCCTCAAAATGTCCGTCAACTATTAGGGTTCCCCGAGCCTCAAATTCTTCACATGATGGACCAGAGAAACTGAGTTCCTCTCCAGCAGGGCAGGTCTATGACCCTAAGACTTTCCTCAGTTCATTCCCTGGGGAGCTGGGGGCGTGGCACACTGCAGGACAGTCAAGCAGATGAACTCGAGTGGATGAGCTGCACTGTTAGGATATGAGAGTTCTGCGTTCTTTAACTGAGCTGGAGATGAAGTTCAACCAGCAAAGAGAGCCACCGATGTAGTGTTCAGGGCCTGGGTGAGTGGGGGCTATTTCTTCTTTCAGGCTGCAACCAGTGACCTCACCAGACTCCTTTCCATGGGATGATGGCTCCATTTGCAAGAGTATGGGTTTCCTCTCACAGACTAGGGCAGTGGTCCTCAACCTTCCTGATGCTGCGACCCTTTAATACAGTTCCTCATGTTGTGGTGCCATCCTCAAGTCATACAATTATTTCATTGCTACTTCATAACTGTGATTGTGCTACTGTTAATGAATCGTAATATAAATATCTGATATGCAGGATATCTGATATGTGACCCCCCTAGAGGGGCCATGACACACAAGTTGAGAACCATTGCCTAGGACATCCCACCGCTATCTGAAGCCCAAGTCCCATTCTCACTGCCATATCAGCCTCTCTACGTACTGGTCAGTGCTGAACAGAGTCCCAGAAAAGACCAAAACTTTCTCCCCTCGAACACAGTTCTGCACAGAGGAGCTGAGCATTCAGAAGGCTGCTTGGTCTTGGGGAAGTCTCCTGACGGACCAGGGTTTTCAAGACTGAGTGGTTTTCATGGACTCACCCAGGAGAGGTTGTGATCTCTGTTCTGTGATCAAGGAGACGGCACCGCTCCCAGAGTTTCCCTACGAAATGCCTCCCGTACTTCTGTTCTCGACACACACAAACGACTTGCTCGGGACACTTGATGAAAACCAGCCTCCTTCTCATGACTGTCTCCTGACGTCAGAGAGGGCTGCCATGGCTCCTTTCTCTGCTGTCAGGAGCCCAGTATTGGCAAGGCTGCACCAGGGTGGAAATGCAAGGTGACGGTTGGTTCTTTGTGTACAGCTGGACTTGGTGGATTCTGGGGTCCTTTCCTGGTGGAAGGACCTGGGATTCTGGCTTTCCCACAGGAGCAGCTGAGAGTATGGAGCAGGGAGTTGGAGGCCTGGGCTGGTGTGTCCACTAGTTGCTGGTTTATCATCTCTCTTTGCCATCCATCCTTTCTCTAGGTGGCAGTTCCAAATCCATCAGATGGGGATTTGGTGTTCTCTAAGGATCTGCCTTGGGGGGTGGGGGTGGCGGTGGGGAGGGGTGTTCCAGGATTCCCTAATGGGTGGGCTGCTGCAAGGAGGAGGCAGAGTAAGTTGGCCTTGAGGGGGATCATGGCCCCCAGCAGGGCCTAGGTTCCTAGGGCCATATTGTCCCCCGAGGAGAGACTCCCACCTTCCGCTCCCCCATTCCTTACCTTGCCCCAGCCTGGAGCCCGTGACGGCCTCTTTAGCAGTCCCGAAGCCCAGCTCTCGGCAGACCACACTGGCAGATACCAGGTCCCACTTGTCATCGCAGACGGTTCCCCATTCTCCATTCTTGAGCACCTCCACTCGGCCCTCCCCGACCTGGGCTCCACCTCTCAGCCGCACCAAGGGTTGCTGGAGAGACACATGGTCCTGCTGAGTGCAGAAGTGACACACATCCTTGGAGCTGCCACTGCTCCACTCCCTTCTGTCCCCCACCGCCGTGGCCCTGCCACATCCCCATAGCTCAGAGTCTGAAAGTGCTCAACCTGTTGGGGGTCGGGTGGCAAAAGTTTCCTGTGTAGCTTCTCTGTCCTGGACCACTAGGAAGGCCAGCCAAGACCTGCACTGGCTCATCGCCCCTTCCCAGGCTTGGCTCCTAGATTCCACCATCAGCCGCATCCTTCTACCCCCAACTCTGAAGCCTCCCAGCATTTAGAGCTACAGAAGGAAGCTTCTACCGTCCAAGTCCACAGGTTCCAAGTGAATCTTTGTTTTCCGTTGCTCGTAATACAGCTTTACAGTCTAGCCCTGCAGGGAGACTCCTTGGCGGGAAGCCTAATGCAAGCAGTAATCCTGCTCCTAAGGAGGGAGGCAAGAGGGAGGCCACAGGAAGTGGCAAGACAGAGTGAAAACATGAGGCCTTATCAGGAAAGACAGACCTAATCAGGAAAGACAGACCTAATCAGGACATGACTGGGAGGCTGCAAGGGATAGGGTCTTCCTAGTTAAGACTAACCGCCATCCAAGTCCAGAAGATGCAGCCTGTCCAGACACTGAGAGGGCACTGAGGGTGGAGATGGTAGTTTAAATGCCCCTTATCCTACCCACTGTCTGGAAGCCTCAGCCCGCTTCTTCAACTTCTGGAATTACACAGGAGTCAGACCCATTCCCTGCCCGCTCATGAAGCCTGAGGATTATGTCTTAAAGATAGGAGCTGGCTTCACCTGTCTACACAGGCTGCTTTGCCTCAGTTTTTATGCATGTGTACAAAGCTGTGTTTGCATGCTCAGTGTGTGTGTGTGTGTGTGTGTAAGTCTGCAAGGCTCTGAGTCACTGCTGATGCTCATTGGAGGGCCGTGAAGCCACTGTAGCCAGACCAGAGCAGAGACCTTGTTCTTCGGTGACTTACGTAGTCCTCAGCCTGTGCCTTCATTCAGGCCATGCACTGAATTCAGGCTTGCCTGAAGCGGGTATGCTTTAAGCATTCAAGCCCTCTGCCACCTTGAGGAACAAGGCACCAAGTTCGAGCCTCTCTCTCTACTCTCCAGTCACCTCGTCACCTCTTGCTTCCCCACAATGACACCTTGGGGCTAGCCTACTGTGACACCACCCACATTCACAGACTCCCCCCCCCCCCCCGCAGGGACTGCTCAGCTTGGCACTGGTGGGAAAAGAGAGTGGGTGAGTGCAAAACGCTCAGTGACTTCCGAAGCAGCTTCCGTTCTTACTTTAGAGAGCAGAGCACAGTGAGTAAAGCCACCGGCTACAGTCTCTGCTTTCAACAGAAACGTGACCTCCTTCCCAGGCTCGTGAGTGGGATGCAGGGGCCCCTCACACTCACGTGGAGCCGCCATCCTGACCACAGCTGGATGGCGATAGAATATCAGATAGCCTGGCCACAGACCCTGGCTGTGGCCAGGTAGTGATCCAGCTGGCCATGGAGTGAAGACAGAAACCAAGGAAACTATGAGGTCAGCCTCCCACTTCGTTCACTGGTTTGGTATGAATTTGACTCCTTTGCTTTACACAGCACAGCCGAGAATTCCCAAACAGTAGGCTCTGGAACTCTGGATGACGGGGAAAGCTGGGGGCGGGGTACAGGGAGGAGGCAGGATGAGGCCCGCAGAACAAAGGACAGGGGGAGTGAGGGTTCAGGACCGGGGCAGTTTGGGGCCCAGAAATAGCACTGACCAGTTGTACCCGTGACACAGGGCTACAGGTGTCTGACAAAGAAGTCACATCTCTGCACTTCCAAGGCACTTAGAGGGGACTGCGAAGGTCAGGCTTACTGTTTGCCAGAGATGCCGGTAAATTAGGAGGTCCCTCTAAATAATCCCCACAGACTGGGCTGGGCTCCCAGCATGCATTTCGCTCCTCTCACTTACTACTAGGACTTTCATTCAAACACCCCCCAGCACCCCTCAGGGTTATCACCACTTTCTTCCCTCTGATTTCCTATCTCTGTGGGGCACCACAGAAGTAGGTAAGGAAAAGCATGGGCAGGAGGAAGAGAAGGGAGCGGAGACTTAGTGCTGGGGGGGGGGGGGCATTTCTACTGTTCACCAAGTGCCTCCCTCTGCAGGCTTCTTCCTCCCCCACTCCTTTCCCCTGGGTGAACTCACTCTGCCAACATGATTCTACTGAGGTTTTAAATGGCCCACGGACTCAGCCCATGATGGAGGCATTATCAGGCCTGGGACTCAACATCTGATCTATTGTGTATCTTCCCTCTTTTCCTGTGCTGTCCCCACCCAGTGGTCCTGTATTAGCAATTTCCAGAATACACACACACACACACACACACACACACACACACACACACACACCTCAAACATCCAATACCCAACAACACATATGCATCCCAAACACACACATAGACACATCTCCAGTACATACATATCCCCAACACACACACACACACACACACACACACACACACACACACACACACAGAGGAGGAGGGGAGGGAGGAAGGGAAGGAGGGAGGGGGAGAGAGAAAGAGAAAGAGAGAGAGAGAGAGAGAGAGAGAGAGAGAGAGAGAGAGAGAGAGAGAAGGAACAGGACTGCTCGGTGGATACTATATATATATATATATATATATATATATATATATATATATATATATATATATATATATATATATATATATATATATATATATCTTGTGGAGGGAAGATAGAATGGAGACCCTTTCTTTTTCAGAGGGTCAGTCTGCCCTGTTTGGTCATTCACCTGTTCTGGGGAATCAGTCAGTTAAAATGGAGGATCTACTTCATATGGGACGACCCCTCCACCCCAAGCCCAATTACTCTCACAGTGGTTCTCAACCTTCCTAATGCTTCAATTGTTTACCACAGCTCCTCTACCGGGCAGTGGTGGTGCACATCTTCAATCCCAGCACTTGGGAGGCAGAGGCAGGCAGATCTCTGTTAGTTCAAGGCCAGCCTGGTCTATAGAATGAGTTCTAGGATAGCCAAGGCTACACAGAGAAACTCTGTCTCACCAAACAAACAAACAAAAAAAAACAATTAACAACAAAAAATATAGTTCCTCATGTTGTGGTGACCCCCAACGATAAAATTATTTTGTTTCTACTTCACAACTGTAATTTGGCTCTGGTTATGAATTGTAACTTAAATATCTGATATGCAGGATATCCGGTATGACCTTTGGAGTTCGCAACTCACAGTTGAGAACCACTGCTCTATACAAACCAATGAGTGATTCCTATCATATAATGTGGCCAGTGGATGGATGACTTGGGAGTGATAATGTCAGGCTTTCTAACCAGTGAAAGCTTCTGGCAGTTAGCCTTTCTTTTGTGAAATAAACCAAAACGGGTTAGAAACAACACAGCTGACGTCATGTGCCTTGGAGAGCTGCATCCTACCTCCTATAGCTCCAGAGTCCCGTATGCTTTTTCCTCCAGGAATTTAGTAGGAGCTGGCTACTCCATATCACTTGCTCATGCTGGGCTAATGAGCAGAGTACAGGAGCCTGTGCTGGCCAGCAATGGGGTGCTTTCCTTGTGTGAAGAGCCACAGATAGGGCTCTGACGTCAACGGAGGCAGCAACAATGGTGGTCTCAGCTGGGGCCAGCTCTCTCCTGTTCCCTTTCTAATCATGACCCCTGCCAGTGGCCGAGTGCCCAGTCCTTACCTCTGGCTTGTAGGCTTTCCGGAACCTCGAGGGCCCATCAGGAGTGAAGATCTGGCTAGGCACACAACTGACCACAGCCGGCTGACCATTCTCACAGGTGGCATTCTTCACGAGGTCCCTGGACACTGGAGGGCCCAGCTTGCAGCTGGAGATGTGAGCTTCCGTCCCCGTGCAGTTCATAGAAAATTTCCAGTAGCGCAGCTTCCTCTTCAAGGCAAAGGTTCTGCAGGGAAAGGAAGAGCTGGGCAACCAGGGCATCCCAGCAGCCACCTGCTCCCTCCTTTTGTAACTAGTAGATCCAGTTCCCAGAACCCAGTCTCCAATCTGCTGGATGCACCACCACTCTGGGCTTCATTTTTCTTTTTCACGGTTAGAGAATCATAGTTGATAAAAGTCCTTTCCTTAAAGAAACAGCCAACTAATAAGGTAACTAAGCCAGTCCCATGAAAACAGCATCAGCCCATTCAGGGACAGAGCGCTTACAACCTAACCACCTCTAGAAGGCACCACTTCTTAATACTGTTAACGACATCACAACTTGTAGTAGAGAGGGGTAGTCAAGCCACAGCCTTACTGTAATGGTGGGTGAAGGTCAGGGGCTGGGGCTGCCGGAGGAAGAACTATGCCAGGTGAGGCAATGGCCCGTGGCCAGAGCTCTGGTGCCAGGAGAAAGACCCACCTCCCAGAGCAAAGACATCGTCCAGGTCTGGTAACCAGCACCCACAGCTAAATCTACATTTGCATATTTCCTGGCTTGGGCTCCACCTTTCCTTTTGCAACACTGTTGTGGGAAAGTTAAAGATTCAGATGAGAATTTCTCTCTCCTTAGTTTTGGTTAAAACTGATTCAGACAATCGGAAGGGTTTGCAGCCAGGAGTTACCACAACACCACGGCAGTTAAGCTTGCAAAGCACTTAACACCGTGCACAGATCACGGGGAGATTTTGTTTGAAATGAATAAAAATTGAAGTCATGGTGTGGCTTGAATGTGAAGTGTCCCCCGCTCCAGGCTGGTGTGTTTAAACATCTGGATCCCTGCTGGTGGCACTGTTTGGAGAGGCTGTGAAATTTTGAGGAGGTGGGGCCTTGCCGGAGGAAGCTGGTCTCTGCAGGATGGACAGAGTTATAACCTGGACTCTCTTCTCCTCTTTCTCTGCTCCTGATCCACAGGGGTGTGAGGAGCCCCAGCTGCACACACCTGCCACCATGACCTCCACCATGCTTCCCCCACCACGACAGACTGTAACCTCGCAAAATGTCAGAAAAAAAAAATTCTTCCTTGAGTTGCATCAGTTAGGTATTTTGTCACAGTGACAAGAAAAGTTAACTAGAGGACAGAGAGATGGCTCAGTGGCTAAGAACATGTACAGCTTTTGTAAAGGACCCAAGTTTGGTTCTTAGCACTCCACCTGTAACTGCAGCTCTAGGGGGAAATCTGAGGCCTCTGCAGGCGCGCACACGCACACGCACGCACGCACACACGCACACACACACACACACACACAAATAACTTTAAAAGAAAGAAAGTAAGAAAATGGCTAAAGGAGGGGAAAAAAAAGCAACAAAGGGAAGGATCCATCAGCTTAAGCACTGGCTGCTCTTCCAGAAGACCCAGGTTCAATTCCCATCATCCACATGGCAGCTCACAACTGTCTGTAACTCCAGTTCCAGGGGATCTGACACCCTCACACAGACATACATACAAGCAAAACACCAATGCACGTGAAATAAAAATAAATACAATCTTTAAATTACATTTGAGGGGGGATCCTTGCTGAAGTGATGAGGACCATTTGATGGAAGATTAGGCTATGAAAAATAGTGGGGTTTAAAGAGGGGATGGGGGAGCGCTAGCGAGATGGCTCAGTGTTTAAGAGCACTGGCTTCTCTTCCAGAGGACCTGGGTTCAATTCCCAGAACCCACATGGCAGCTCACAACTGTCTGTAACTCTAGTTTCAGGGGCTCTGATGCCAATACACATAAAATAAAATAATAAAAAGAGGGTATGTGGGGAGGACGCCCCGTCCTCTGAAGCTGTCCAGCTTTAGAGTCTGTGTACTTGATTCTACTTGGCAGGACTCAGTGAAATGCTTGAGGGACCCAACAAGCACAGCTGCCCTCTACCTTGGTAGAGGAGGTTATCTGGGCAGGAGACCCCAGGAGGGACAAATGTGAAGCCTTGTTCTTACTGGTCCAGCTTCCTCAGAAACATCTGCTTTATCTTGGGGTGAATGGCATGTGGAGACAGAGGAAGAACAAATTCTTTAGATGTCTTATTGTCTCCCCTTTACCAAAATTTGTGTCTTGGAACAATTCGAGTGTAGCTGTGGGTACAAACACTCCAATATCTAAAATACAGACTTTATCGAGAGATGTGTGCTCACCACAGTGACATCATATGGTAGAGATGTCCATGAGGGGGCTGTTAAGAATTCCAGAGCAGCTACCCCCTCCCCACTTCCTGTAAGGCCCCTTGCTCTGAGAAACCTCACCTCCCTTCCACACATGGGCAGAAAATACACCCAGGGGAACATGAGCCGTTTCAGGTCAGAGTACACTGTAACCCACCGCCGGCTTGGGAAATTCCGTCTGTTTCCAGCTGTGAACACCACCCTCACTTCCCCAGCACACAGGGCTGCCTCAGACCCGCTTCAGTCTTCCCCCAGACAGCTCTGCTTCTGTCTTACATCAGCTCTCTGGAATGTGCCGCCCACCAGGACCCTCCCTCCACAGGCCTCCAGCAGCCAGAGCACCACCCCACCCCCATCCTCATTTACTCTCACGGTGGCTGAGCCGGCCCTAGAGAAGCAGAGATGAGGTGAAGTGGGAGGAAGCCCAGCCGCCCCCAGGCCTGGACATGAGAGGGATGGCTAAGGTTGGGGACGGCCTTCTGCCAAGTTGGAAGTCAGCAGGGCTGTAGCCAGCTCAAGAGCTGGAGTTACTCCAGAAGCATAGAGTCCCAGTGGCTCTCCCCAGCTAACTAAGGGAAAGCTACGTTTTGTGTCTGCCAGGGGCTCAGTGTGTCTCTTCTAACTACACTTTCTAACCCTGGAGGAACCATCCAAGGAAAGGATTGAGGTTTATTGGGTCCACACGAGAAGAACTTTAGTTAATACTCCACCATAGCCTTCCTTGGACTAGTGAGCCACACATACACTATACTCCGGGATAGTTCAGATTATTCCTTCCTTCCTGACACACAGCCATCCAGGTAAAGGGTCCCTTTGGAGAGGGCTGGGAGAAAAGTAGTACAAGGTTTTGACAACGTACCCAGGTCCTTGCTCGGGGCGGGGGAAGGTGGGCACATACTTCCCTTTTGCTCTGGAGTTCTGGGTCTGTAAACTGACCCAAGTCTTAGAATTGATTAAGAGAGTGTGATAGCCCATTGCTATTATTCGGGTTAGACCTCTCACCTGACCTAAGGCTTATCTGTTGGGACAACCAGGGAAGAGTTTAGTCAACCTCTGGTCTCTCCTCCGAGAGCATCATAATTAACTGAATAACTCCGAAGCTTTTGAGTACTCATAATCAATCAGCTGAGCAACTCTGAGCCTGTGAGTACCCAGCAGCCCAGCAGCCCAGCAGTTAGCAAGGGGAGCCGGCTCCAGAGAAACAATGGAGAGCTTCTGAGAAGGAAGGGCCTTGGGTGATGACTTAGCCATGAGAATGTGTAAGGCAACAGGTCCACTAGGGGCCTCAGATTATACAGGGAGACAGCTGCAGACAGACTGAGGACTACTTTGACCACATTTTTTTTTCCATTAGAGCCTCAGGCCTGCACAGGACCCATTTGTAAAAAGATTGAAGAGAGACAGGCAAAAGGCTACCAGGAGCTTTTAATCCAGGGACCGGGTTTATCTGTGTCGTCATCTCTGATCAGGACCCACAGAGAGCCATGCCTGGACCATCCCCGTTCCAGCCCCACAGAGGTGCTTGGTGGAGACTGGGTGAGAAGTTGGATGGGGAAACTGTCCCTGGAGCCTATCTTGGCTGTCCTGCAGGCTCTATCTGTGGGTGACCCAACAAACTAAAGAATGGTCGGTGGCCTTGAGGTCAGTACTTATTTCTCCGCTATCTTCCACTCTAGCTCTTGCTAGCTCAATCCCAGCAATGCTATCAAGACTCAAAAGCATTCCTTCCTCTTTGAGGCACACGTGGAAAAGTTTCTGTACCCTCCCACCCGTTTGGGGGCAAAGTGGAAGAGGTTCTGGTTCCAGCAACTTCAGTTGGCTGTCTCACACATACGCAGAGTTCTGGAGGCAGAAGCCAAAGCAGAGACCTTCGGAGGAATGCTTACTTTCCTTGGCTTGCTCAGCCTGCTTCCTTATAAAACTCAAGACCATCTTCCCAGAGCTGGTACTGCCCACAGTGGGTGTGGCCTTTCCACATCAATCATTAAGCAAGAAAATGCTTCTCAGACATGCCTTGATGGGAGTCTGACAGAGATGGGGGAAGGAAGAAGGGGGGGGGCTGGTAAGAGCTACTCTAAAAGGAAGACTCTAGTAATCTCCCCCAGGGCAAGACCACCCTGAGCCATATCACCCGCCAACCATTTCTTAAGTCAACGCTATCCTTGCCCAACTGTGTATTGCCCTTCCACAGCCTATAAGTTTCCCAGTGGCTGCTGGAACTGATGGGGGGGTTTCCCTGGGCTCGGGTGCTTTGTGCTTTACTGGGTCAGCCTTTCTATGTGCTATTCTCGGTCCATCGTCTAGCTTGCTTCCCACAGGAGTGTGAGTTTCTCAAAGCAAGGCTAAGCAGGCAGTGAAATAGCCCGTTACCAGGCCAGGCACTGACCCCACCAGGAAACCCCGCCCCCGCTGGCCCTGCCCACTTACTTGTAGGCTTTGGGGTTGTAGGTCTTCTCGGCAGGGAAGCCAAACATGCCACAGACCACGTGGGAATTCTTGGCCGTCCAGTGCTTATCGCAGATCTGCTTCCAGGTCTTGCCCTCTTTCACCTCCACGTAGCCCTCCGTCACAGGCTTGCGATGGCGGAAGGCAGAAAGGATGGGCCGGATCCGGATGTCTTCCACCTGTATGTTTAGGCTCTGTGAAGAAGGAGATGTGAAAGGACAGGGGTTGTGATAGGAGTCTGGCTGTGGACAGGTGTCAAATGGCAATTACTTCCTCAGGGACCACAGGCTGAGTTCTGCTGGCCTGCCTCCCTCCAAGCTCTGCAGAGGGCCCCCAAGCACTCCCAATGGGCATGTGGCACTGTTACCAACTGCTGTACATTGGGAGGCAGTGTGGCAACAGGCACCAAGGATGACTTGGAATGCTCAGAGAAGTCTTGAGGGGCCCCCAAAACTTTCCCTTTTCCTACAAAAAAAACAAAAACAAAACCCAAAATGTGGAGAACCACGGGCAGTAGATTCTTCCTGCATCGGCTTTAAATATAAAATCATAAGAGAGATAGTATTCTTTGACTTTTCATAATCTCAAAATAATCTGGATTTTTACATTTTACTCCAAAGTGTGTGCAAACATACCAACGAATACGTATGTGTACGTGTCCGTGTGTGCTAGTAAGACGGAGTTTCACGCAGGTGAGCCCCCGGCCTCTTCAAGCTACTGATGTCGCCTTGCACACTACCTTACTTACATCATTCCTCCTGTTAAAGCCCCAGAGGCCCTGCTTGCAGGAGAAGCAGCAAAGCCACCCAGTGGTGAGCACATCATGTGCAGGGGAGCCTCAAACCTGGGGAGCTGTGAGCTAAATAGGGCTAAATAGGGTTATTTGGCCGTGACAAGGCAAGATTCCAAATGTCTTAGAAAGCCACCTTCTAATCTTTCTGGGTCAGTGGGAGGAGAGGTTTGGGTTTGGGTTGAGAGGGACTCAATGGCAGGACTCTGCTGAAGGAAGAAGAAGACTGGAGGGGAGAGTGGGAGGAGGTGCCTACTCCTGGATATTCTCCTGTTCCCCGACACTCCATTGGAACACTCCATTGGAACACCTTTGTGTGAAGAAGTGAGGTCTGTAGAGACCGAATGAGAGAAATGACTGGACGGCGGGGTCCCCAGAGTCACACTGACCCTTATCATGCTTCTCCAAGGCATAGCCCATCCAGAACCACTCACTTCCTGCCCCCCTCCCTGTCCCACTGGAGACAGTACAGAATCTTGCAACAATCCCTAAAGAAGCCCCTGCCTCCATCCATCTACCACAGGACTGGCCACAGGGAGTCCTGTCTAAAGCACTGATCTGTGCTTGATCCTCAGCTGGCTCCTTTTCGTCTCTCACACACAGATGTCTTAGTTAGAGATGTCCGAGATCTTTCCTGGCTGATTCCAGCTATCCCTAATTGATGTCCCCAGCTCCAAATTGACCCTCAGATACTACAAAGCACAGCACGTAATAGCAACAGCTGTGAACAGTGGTTAGCAGCGAGGAACTCTATGCCAAGCCCTTTCCATGCAGTCTCTTACCTAATCCTTAAGCACAATAATGTGGTTTATTGCTACTGTCTACAATTTACAGATGAAAAGGCTAGTAATTCGACTTTCTTCCTCAGACCACCCTGAGGAGCCATGTGAGACACACCCTGAGCAAGGCCAGGGAGGGAGAGGCGGGGCTGGTGAGCGCCAAGCTGGAAGGAAGATTCCGGTGACCCAGGAGCCCTGTCTGTCCAGTCAGGATGCAAATGAATCAGAGATTGAACAGAGTCATTATTTGGGTGCCCAGGGATTAACGTCTTCTGCCACAGGCTTCAGAGTCCAAAGCCAGAACCTACGCCACAGGTCCTGCAAGGCAGTGGAAAGTATGTGGCCAGGAATAATGACACTTGGCCCTAGTTCCCTCCACGCAGAGCGGAAGGAAAGCTGCCTGGGCAGGATTATGTTTTCCAGACTGGATCCTTTATAGCCCTCATCGGTCCACAGGACTCGTGCCACCTAGACACATGGGCAGCGATGAGCCAAGAAGTGGCCCGAGGTCTCATCCAAGCCCACGGGCCAGCCCCCTCCTGCCTCTTCCCACAGCAGGAGGCCCCTGGCATCCAGTGTGGATACATCATGCCCAGAAGGAAAGTTACGGCTGCTCCACTCCTCCACGGCAGGCACAGCTGACATAATTCCATTCACCGACCTTTCATTGGCTCTCAGCAAGTCACACAAGCTTATGGATGGGAGCTGTGACCTCTAGCATGGTACTATAGAAGGCACCTTATGCCTGAGAAGGGACCTGCACAGGGCATGAGGCCACAAACTGCCATACCTGTCCAAACATTTGTCTCCGTTCTTTCCTTGATGTAGGACAGGATAGGGCCCGTTGGCAGACCTGTGGGCCTCAGGATAGGGCTAGCCTGGGGTTAGCTTTGGTTGTCACTGTCTTCAGTTCTCTCCCAGTCCAGCCAGTTTCTGTGCGATGCATGCATATGTGCATAATGGTATATGTATATGTGTACGTGCGTGTGGTATGCGTATCTCTGTGCACCTTTGCATCCATGAATTTGAACCTGTCTTTGTGTATCTGGGAGCCAGTACTATGTCTATATACTGTGTCTACGGATGTGTGTACAAGACGTGTATATGGTGGCAAGGATGTCTGTGTCATGTGGGTCTTTGTTCACATATGTTCATGGTGGTATATGATGGTCTCTGTGTGTCTTTGTATGGGTGGAATGTGTACCTGAGGGATGGAGACGGGAGAAACGGATTCAATCCCCACAACACTTAAGGAAAAAAAGCAGTCAGAATGGGCTTTGCACTCCTTCTCCTGAGGTAGAACACCTGTCTTTACCTGTGGAAGCAAGTCCTTCTTTTGGGAGGCACTAGGGTGGTTTGAATGAGAATGGCCTCACAGGCTCCTAGGTTTGAATACTTGGTCCTCACTTGGGGGAACCATCTGGGAAGGATTAGGAGGTGTGGCCTCCATGGTGGAGGTGTGTCACTAGGGGCAGGCTTTGAGGTTTCCAAAGACTCCTGCCCTACCCATCGTACCTCATGGGAGCTCTCAGCTGTTCCTGCTGTCACGCCTTTACTCCGCCATCGTGAACTCTGACCCTCTGGAACCATAAGCCTAGGTAAGCACTGTCTTTTAAAAGTAACTAAGATAGGCACCATCCATTTCATTCACTCATTCATTTATTCACTCAACAAAATACAGTCTGCTGTCCATGGTGTTGCCAGACTTCTCCGCACCTCTGTTCCCTGTTTCTTCTTTGATGACAACCATAGTCAGAAGCCATTGCTAGTCAAGTGTCAGCTGGCTGCACTTGAGGCTCTGTGAACAGAACCTTTCATCTATTGCCTTCTCCAACTACCACACCACCAACAAGATGACTAACAGTACACCCCTGTTTATTGGTTAAAAACATGAGAAAACTCCGTGAGGCTGAGCAACTTGTTCAAGTTCACAGATTTATTAATAAGCAGGTCAAACTGAAAATGGAACTGTCTCTAAGCCAGGTCCCAGGCTTAGTGACCACTGGCTCCTGAGGGGGCCTCTGTTTTCACGCCCCTTTCTTGCCAATATAGAAGTGACTCTAATGCTGGGGATCCCCGACTCTGACTTCTGGGTGGCCCCCTCAGGGCTGCCTGGCACTGTGCATATTAGAAGTTCAAGACAGTCCCCAGAAGGACTGTGAGTCAGAGGACAGTGGACGTGAGGGGTGAGCTCCTCTTGTCCTCAGGCCAGGAGGAAGTGGCAGGCAAGCGTTGGTGGCACGTACTCAGGGCTCATGCGAGTTCAGCAGCACTCCAGGTCCTGGGAGACCTCAGGGTTAGAAAGCACATGCCTGCATGCACGGCCTCCCTCCTACTTCACTGCTGTGGAATCCCTCCATAACCACAAGTGCTTGGATTTTCTTTTTCCCAGAACTTGGGCTCCCAAAGAGGTTTGTTTGAAATACCAAAGTGGACAGATTTTTTAAAATGTAGATTTGTTAAAATTTTGTTGCATTTATTTGTGTGTGTGTGTGTGTGTGTGTGTGTGTGTGTGTGTGTGTGTGTGTGTGTGTTGAGAACATGTATATGAGTGTGAATGCCACAGCATGCATGCCACAGCACATGTGTAGAGGATAGAGGATAGCCTTAAGGACTGAACTCAAGTCATCAGGCTTTAGGCAAGCGCCTTTACCACTGGGCCATCTCGATGATCCAATTTTGTAGATTAAAATGAAGCCCAGGAACCCAGAAGCCTGTCAAGCATCTAGAATGTCTTAAATTCTAACTAATATTTACCTGAATGTTGGTCCTCTTGCCAAAAACAATAGTGTCCCAGGGCTCCAGTGAGCTCTCCTTCCAGGGTCTTGCAGACGCCCCTGCCCTGTCCCACACAGAACTAATCTCCTACCCTTCAGGGAGGCCCCATGAGTGACTAACAGGCACTCTCAGGAGAGGAAATCAAGATACAATGAAGTCAGGAGCCTGCCATGCTATAGCTGCTGGGCTGCTGGAACACAAGGAAAGGGATGCCCAGGCTTATGCCTCAATGCCATTTAGCAGGCACAGCATCTGCTGGTGACTTGTAAATCATGGAATGTGGCAGTCTGGGATCTCTGCCGGTGAGAAGTCACCCACTTTGAAAGGCTAGTTAGAGATTGCCTCAGGGTATGATGCAAGGAGAGGCACACAGCTTGCAGCCAGCTCCTTTCTAGAGTGACTAGAAACTCTGCAGCGAGCAAATGGCCTCTCTCAAGGCATCAGACCCAGGCAGACCTTAGCCAGCTGCCTTACCTCTTCCTTCTATTTTAGAAGCCATAATTTAAGCTCTTACTGGAAGTCACCCTGGGGCTGCAGATGGAGTGGAGGAAATGTCATTACACCAGCATGCTCCTGGCACATACCATTGGTTGGTAAAGCCAGATCACTTGGTCTGTCCTCCACTGCTAATGAGTTTCTGAATCTTGCTTGGAAGGCCCACAGCATACCTCACTTGACTATTCCTTTTGAAGCAGGCAGTCACATTCAGACTCATCTCCCCGACCTTTCTCATCATCTTATACCACACAACCCAGATGCCCACAATTCTTCCTTAGACAGACAGAGCCATCAAGTGAGTCCCACCTGCCAGCTTTGCAGACACAGTTCCTTCATCCTTTCTTCTACT